CTGTTTGAAATAAACAGCAGAAAATAAATTAATTTCGCTGCCGCGCATGCCTCGAGCAAGGACCCCGGAGCTGACGGATCGCACAATGCCGTTGACTTTCGCGTTTCACCATTTTGGTATCCCTGCGCGAAAGCCACGAAAATGAAATTTTCAGAGCAAGCACTGAACAGAGGCGCGATAAAGAGAGCTGTAAAGAATCGCAAACATCGATACTTGATCCAATAAATTCTAGTTGACCGCCGCACATCGGGTCGTACGTGAGAAAAATGGGGCTTGAACACAGCAGAGCGATATGGCCTGTATCCGTCGCGTCGCTGAGTCGGAAGTGGTCGCGTTGTAACCTTCATCCGTCTCGTATTTTTTTCGTTTGTGTTGAGAAATCACTCACGTTTCGTGTCGTTAGAACGAACGAACTCCTCGGAACGGAGAATTCACTCTTGCTTGACAGAAGGAAAGCGCGGTTTCTTGCTCACACACCTTTAGATTCTGCTGGCCTGGCTCGCATGTGTACAGAAAAAAAGCATTCTCAAACAAGCATTGAATCAGAGGCACATCGACGTCGGTGAGTCCGATGCTTGCTCGCATCAGTTAGTTCGGTCTTCGATGAATAGCTCACGAAGCTCGCTTCCTGGGATCCTACGAAAATCTCCATCGTTTCGAAATTATTGTGGCTTCGCTGTAGCGTGCTTTGCCGCTTGTTTCCAATCTGGAGATCTTTGTGGTTCGACCGAAAATCTATTGTTCCACTGCAGAGACATCGCTTCACGAAAAAGCGGGACACGAGGACAATCGCTCCTGAATGAAAGGAGACCCTCGCCCAAACTTCTCGGCCGGAATCAGCATACAATTTGCTTGCCATGCATACACGACGGACCTGAATCAATACACTTATCCCATATGTACCGATATGGTATACCCGTTCGCAGCAAACGAAGCTTCTCTATGCGTTTCTCGTCTATCCATCTGTATTCACTGTGGGTACCGTATCGGATACCTTGATATTATACCACGGTTTCTATTTGATGGGAAAAAATTCTGGTCGATCGCAGATCGTATGAGGTAATACGCACGGGATGCAACAAATTTAGAAGAGAACTTCTGTGAACCTTTACACAGGAGACGTAACTCTGATCTGTTTCGGATTGGGTGCTCTTCGCTTTGTCATTACAGTGATCTTGGAATATTGAGCAAGCGCTCGAGCAATCCATTTTCGATCCTCATCGATTCCCGTCGATGGCAGAAGAAAAACAAGAGAATAGCAGAAAATCGGAGCCTGAAACGCTCGATATTCGGAAGTCACGCATCGGACGCTCGACACTGCCGTGGATACAGCCAGACTGGTTATGCAATGCAAACTCTTTGCGATCAAAATGTGACCTTGAAGGTTTGACATTTTGCGCGACGCGAGTAATTTCGGTCACGAGCTGGCATAAGAAAGAGAGCGATACACTTGCACGTCGCTCTATGTCCAGGCCTGCAGAGAGGGCGGAATTCGAAGCGTTCACGTGACCTAGATTACTTCCGGAAACTCGATCGATGCTATGGGAATTCATAAATTAAGTTTCGGATAATTACCTATAGTAGGCTTGAAGCATTTCAATCCAGCCTCGGTACCCATGAGACATCGAACCGAAACTAAAACGAACGCTCCAATGAATAGGTCCGACGCTCATCCAGAACGGTTTCTCGGGCGAACGAGCGGATACTTTCCCGATATCCTTCGATAGGGTGAGTTGTTTGATCACATCACCGTCCCAAACACGAGGAGTCCGCTTGCTGAAGCTTCGCGAAAATTGACAAACTCGAAGAAGGTTCACGTTATCGGGACCCTGGGCGAATCCGTGCTCAAAGCGGTTAGAGAAGCATCAGAGAGGCTCGAACAAGCAGAAGTTCCTCCACAGGCGCTAGTTGTGCGAAACCCCATCATTCTAGCGATTCGATCCAAGCAAACCGATCCGATTGGTGGCGGCACTTCTATGATTTCCTGAGCTGTCGATCTCTTCTGTAGGTTCTCCTCTTGCTCATCGTGGGAGCCGCATGCCCGGCACCGCAGCTTGAATTTTGGAATTCCTCCCTGAGGGTCCTGGGTGTTGGAGTCGCAATTAGATACCTGGGAAAAGAAGAGCCTCCCTTTCGTCGACCCTTCATCCCTCGCACACTTGTCGATCGAGTCGTCGGATAGTGTTTCATTACACGTCATGCATATATAAAACGTTATTCATGTATCGGATCTTCCCCTTGAGGGACCGCCGTTATGAATAGCTGGGAAAACAGTCAGAAGTTTGTGGGAAAGCACACAGCCGAATTCGTTTGGATAACTTCAGGCAGTGCGCGCGAATTGCTACGCGTCACTGCGTGTGTCTTGCTTGAATACTGGGCTGGCTGTCTTCTGTGTTATCAAACAACTGGTACAATTTCGCTTTTTCAGAATCGATGCAGGCCCAGGCGCCGATGCAGAGATATATTCGCTATCAAGGATAGATTCCTGAAATATAGAAAACGTGATTCACGAGCATCAGTAAGCCTTGCGATCCATCCAATCCAGGATTGTGAGCTTCTGCCAATGTTTCGCAGAAAACACAGCACGATCACTGTGAATCCCCGGGTTACCGGAGCTCAGACAATCGAGGAAAAAGTACGGAATCAGCCCATCCTTCCCCGGAGCCGATCGACTCACAGAACCACAAGATATCCAGAAGTTTAGCTGTTCAACATCGCGTGGGTCCTCGGGTGCTCTCCAAGATCCGACGTCCTATGATTGACCGGGTTCGAAACATTCCCCAGCTCCCGATTCCGGTGGCCATCGATTGCTCGGCATTCCCAAAAGAAGGATCGGGCTACAATGCTTCTGGAGTTCGATGTCTGCAATTCATTTGCTCAAGGCATACAAACTCGAACGACTGGCGCGAAGACTAGCCGTCGAAGATTATTATTGATGCAATAATGGGAGGCATCTGACAATCACACCGAATTCTACGGATCGACGCGGTGAGGGGGCGGACAACACTGTTAACCACTTACCCACATCCCGCAAGCAAAAGTCTGTGAGCCCCGAAGTTTTGGGTGAAAACGCCGTGAACGGTACTTAAAAGTGACCTTTGGTAGCCCGATAATAAAACAGCCCGAATCTAGCCGACCGATGTGGCAAACCTCAACTTCTCTCACTCTGGGGTCATTCTTTGCTTCCGACGGCGCGGCAACGCGCGGGAGGCTGGGGAGGAGCGAGACTGACGGATTTCTTTACTTCCCCCGGGGAACAGTGGTATGTGTGACTCTTATCTAGGTTCGAAGGAAACGATTACCGAAGTCTATGGGCTCGATGCAATGCTTCAAATGCGGCTCCGAAAATGTTACATCATAAATCATGAGTTTTGAATGCCGTGACAGCCTGCAAGTTTTGACTCACTCAGAGGCATCTCGGAGAAATCCACGCGCAAATTGATCAACGACTTCGAAGTTCCTGAGGGATACGAGAAGCGGAGGGAGAAGAGCGTCGAGCCTCCAATTTGAAATCGGGCTCCCCCTGCCGGTGGGTGGCGTTGATCAGTCGGGAGGGAGAAGTAAGCGAGCCATGACTTTGACTCTGATGACTTCACCCGTGAATTATACAGGAAAGAGCTCCGTTTGTCTCCGACCGAGCCAGATTTCGGGAAGCTCGCCGAGAGCAGTGCTCGATGGTGCGTAAGAAGGCTACCGTCAAACTTCTTGACCACCATAACCAGAATTCGCTCCGATGCCGCGGTGAAATGCCCCGCTTTGAAAACAAGCCGATAGGCACGAAAGCGTCTCAAATTGGATCAATCAAGCGAGGATAGGGAACCCGATTACGACAGATCTGAAAGTGAACTCTCTTCGATACGAAGGATCCTCGATCGACCGCTCAGCCAACGGTTCCGTAAGGAACAGGGTTCGGTTCACCGATGGTGCGCGGAAGCACCCATAATATACCGATTTTCGCGCAAAGCGGACTGAAGCTCTGCTCCCGTGCAAATAGATCGGAGATTTGCTGGAACGCTCTGCATCGGCAAGAATAGTCAAATTTTCTGATACGTATCCATTTCATGTTTACGATCGCTTCACCTCTTCGAGATTCCAGGAAAGAGTTTTCGCGAGAAGCTCGTAGCCTTCGGAAGCGGAGAAGGAGATATCACCACGGCACCATCGTCGAGTGCAGCCGCGTCGGCGGCCCTCGGAGATCGGCTCCACGATCAGTGGGTTACCGACCGCACCGATTCTAATCTGAACCGCGTGCTCCGGACGAGGCGGACGTGGGGCGCCAGGTGCTCAGCGTCATGATGCACTCGATGAGCGATGGATTTCGACATAAAGCCGATTTCTCCGATGTCTTCATGGATCCGACAGGATTTTAGGTTACGAACGCGAAGCCCCAGCTGATGGGAGAGGTTCTGGGTACGGAGCAGAGCACTGGTGTCTGTCCCGAGCTAAGAGTTGCTCGAGTGCGGTTTCGATCGCAGAACGCAGGGGCCGTATCGCAGGAGCGATTGACGCTTCACCATGACCCGCGTCGAAAATCTATCTGAAGAATGCCGATGGAAAACTTGACGTGACCGGGAACGGCCGGCGGAGATCTGGTGGACCCCAAGAACAAAATCCGATCGTCTGCGACCTTGCGCTGCAGACGTTGATGTGCCGATTAGACGGGGGATGGTCTTAGCGCGGCGGATTAAGGTGACAAAAAATCTCAAGTTGATCGTTTCCGATCTCGTTCTCAGTATATCAGGTGGAAGAATTCCCGGGGGCCTCCCACCGAATAAGATTCGCTTTCGATCGACCTTCGGCTCATATTCCCGCGGAGTCTTAACGTGCTTCTCGTCCTCCTCTCCCTTCCTCGTGAAGTAGCCTACCACTGCCCTCACCACGAGCCCGGTCGATACTTCTATTCAGCATGGCCCTTCACCACATGGCAAAAACAGCCTCCTTTCCACAACTTCCCCCGAAGTCGAAGTCGCGTGTTCGAGCGTTCATCAGACACTGATCGTGACGATGCGTCGTCACCAATGCCGTGTCTAGCTGAACGGTTCCTGAACTAAGTGTTGTCTGTTCATTGTGTACGTAGCGTCTTTTTGTGAAGTGCGCGATGCCGCGACCCGTGCTTGTACTACTGTGTGTTCTGTTACTTTCCGGAACCGCGCACAGCGGTGAGGATGAACATACGCAACGATTACACGATCACGCACTCGAGGACAGTGGATCACCAAGCACGACGACCGAGGAAGCCGAAGAGGAATGGCGGGAAGAGACCACAACCATGCCCCCGGATGGAATAATTGATATCGAACCTTTCATCGAACAGCTGGCCGAAGATGGTTTTCGGCGGGGTTTGCCGATATTTTCGAGGTTCAATGGGGACGACAACGTCACCGTGGATTGCAGTGCCGCCCTCATCAAGTTCATGTTCGCCATGAGAAAGCTCACACCGTGGGCCTTAAGGAGTAAGTTCGGGGTCTCAATGAACCAGGTATCCGATGCCACTAATCCCGATTCTCAGAGTTATCATTCGAGTTAGTGTTTGATCGAGTTCTCTCTACGCAAGCGAAACTCGATACGTTCACCGGTTCGGAAGCACGGTTTCTGCTCTTTGTATGGAGTATGAGCGTGACGAAACGATTCTCATTCACGAGCTCGATGAGCATCGGAAATAGAACTTGGAATCTCGTGAACAGGCGGATAGTGAAGCGAATCATGGCGGTTGGGTTTTTCTCCAGAGGATGTCTCACGATGAAAGAGACAGAAATGAATGATCGGATGACGTTTCTTTGGCGAGCTCATTCCGGTCACGAGACTCCAGAGTTGTCGAGCGAAGTCAGATCGAGACTCGGGCGACCGTCTGAACGTGCTTCTTGAATTTGCCCATGGGGGCTTGTCGAGAGGCGACCTGACCCTGTCGGATTACGGGATCCGTATCATATGATCCCAAATCCCAACTCGGGATCAGAGGTACCTTGTTCAGCGGAGGCTCAAGTGCGCGAGCTGACCCTCATGCTCACTGTCAGAGTTCATAGGCGACCATTGGATCAGGAACTCTTGGAGGGAGATATCCGATATCCGAGCTGTGTCTCAATTTCAAGTTCCCTATGCTGGAGAAATCGCTGAAAATACGGACATGGTTCTCAAACTCCGAATCCTGCATCAGGCTCTGCCTCGCCTGTACCGCGTGCGAGCGACACCCCTCGAGAGAACTCTATCGAGTGAGCTGAAGGAGCATGAAGAAACGGGATAGCGGATCAGCGGCCCCGAGCTTGGAAGATACTTCCCTTGGGCGCTCCCGACAGCAAGTGTATCCTATGTTGAGCTTCACCCATGAGAGTATTGCATCACCTCCACGATCAGATTACTTTTTAGCCGAAATCTCAGTCGGACTTCAGAATGAGATAAGCATTGACGTTACAAACCGCCAAAACTTTTGAAGCATCTAATCCGATGACCCCCGTGGACCAGGCTCACGAAACGGTTGTGCTTCTTCGCGCTTCCCATTCCGAAAATTAATGAAATCTCCGGACAAGACTTGAGCACCTGAGTTTTGATTGAACTGTGTTTCAACCTTTGGAAAGCGTTAGCTTTCCGGTGTCTTCTTCTTTCACCGCGAATGTTTCAAAATGATGCCAGTTCCGACTTGACATCAGTGGAGATCCTCCTTGAATCATCGGAGCCCTCCATTAATCCCTCCATTCATGACGGAGGGAACTTACTCAAAGTTTTCCATCTCGAATCGAATAAGAGAGTCTGTTTCCATTCTTCCAACTCAATGGGGCCTTCGGCAGAACGGCGAGTTCCCGAACAAAAGCTTGATGATATGCGATCCGAAGTCACTGATCAGTGTAAGGAAAATGCAATGTATTACAACCAGAAGTTTCTTTTCTCGCCTCTGGCTACTTAACAGAAGAACGTTCATCATTGGAAACTTTTAGAAATCGATGCTGAATGCGATTCGGAATGGATCCCGTACGCCATCTTCATTAACATGCTTTTCTCGTTCAACGATGACGAAAAAAGAAAATTTCAAGGAAGATAACGGCGCGTGAACGAGAGCTAGCCGTTTATAACCTGGCTCCATGTCATTCATGGCTGCTGAGATATGAGAAGTAGGTAGAGATAAGAGAAGAAGTCGGTGACGGGGAACATCTGATTTCTCAAGAAGCACAGCGGCATTTCTTCTCGGTGGCGCTTCTCCGGTTTGACAAAGAACCCGAATCGCTCCGATGGCTCGGGCTTGCGCTGGTCTCGAGCACGCGCATGTAGATTCGCGTGCGTCTGCGGCGCGAGCCATTTGCGGCGTTGTACATACATTCGATCGGACCTACTTATGACCAGTCCGAGGACGCAGTTCGACCAAAAAGATAAGCACAAAGCATTGGGGACACGAATGTCGGAGTCGAAGCCTTGCCGGTTTCCCGAAAAACACGCAGGGCCTCTTGCGTACCCACGGGGAGTGCACAGATGTCGAATTAAGCTAAGCAAGGAGCGGAAAAAACGACAGTTCCTTATGGTCTTCCAACATCTCTTCTCATCATGAGCGCTTTAAAAGGGGGAAACTTTTTGTCTATCCTTCGCCAACGGTGACGTATCGAGCATTGCGCTTGTTCAGACCGGTCGATGCTTTTTCCAGTCCACCTTCGGCAATAGCGTCTTTCCGTGCGGGATTTTTATTCCCCTTCACGCTCTTTGTCTTCGCGGGTGTTCATGTAGAGCCTATCTGACGCTATAGAGCCCCGCTATGATTCGACAGATGCAGGAGTGATGATAGCCAGCCATCAGAAGATCTTCGGACATCCCCAAATGATCTCCAATTCATTTAATCATCCGATCAAGCTGCTCCGCATGGGTCTGTCGCGGCTTAGCGGAGGGTCTTCCCTCCTTCTGGATCGATTCGGAACCCCCGGGATATCCGCGTCGCGCGGACTCTGAAACGAATAAAGTCTCCGAACATTTTCTCGTTTAGATCGTCTGGGCAAAATATTTCTGACCGACTGCTCGCGTCTGAGACGCTGCCACTCTCTGTCCAAGCTTTCCAAGAGACCTTCAAGAGTTGTGGCACATTGCAAGATGTTTCAAATTGTCTTTATCACTGTGGACCACATATTCGGTCATTTCCAGAAAAATATGAGCCACTCGCTTCAATTGACACGCTTCTGTGAGCTCCTCCGAGCTGTGGCGGACCTGGCGGCATTCGCTTCAGAAAAGCTTGGGTTCCTTGCTGGCCATAAAAACACACCACTTATACTCGCGAAGAATTGTTTCTCTGTAGATAATGAAGCGACTTTTTGATCCGCTCCACCTTCATTCCTCTGCTGAGGGGGGACGCCGAAAAAATACGGCTACACGTACCGACAAATATCTGGTCTGTAATGCGAGGGATACAAATTCAAGAATACTCGTCCCTCGAGCTTGGCAGTGTTTGTCGGTCGGTACGACGAACTGACCACATTATGGTCGGAAACGATCGATTGCGAGTCGCTGGCGAGGTGCGACTTAGGCTCTCGGTAGCAGTCTTATGTCCGGGAACCATCAGAGGTTATCGGTCGATCCCCCGAACGAACTTGAAGGACCGAAACTCTGTCTTGGACACGGTCCCATAGATTCGATGAATTACGCCGACTTGGTCTTTGATCGGCGTCGTCTTGTTTGTGTTCTGGCGAATCCAAGCGGGTTGTCGGTCCAGGAGCCGTTTCGGTCGGAGCGCCTGTTCACGGAACCCTCCTTCATCTTGATATCGATCGTCGCCCAGAAAAGCTTACGCGTTGAGTCCAGCGGGGTCCGTAATGCTCACGACCTCGTGAGAGATTTGAGGCTTTCCGCCGGAGGATAAGAGATAATCGTGAACTATCGGGCGTGAAGTCACTCGATGGAAATAGGTAAAGAACCTCCTTGGGGGCTTCTGGCGATGCGTCAGTGATTCAGTGATTCAGCGTCAGTGATTCAGTGATTCAGCGTCAGTGACTCAGTCACTGACCCTCGCTATCGAACCTCGATATTTGCTTCTCGGCCGCAAGTAGATTTTCCGGAATTTCTTGGCGGATTTCCGCAACTCGAAGAACCTCACCCTTCCATGTAACTCCAGCACTCCCCGGAAGGATCTTCGCGGCGCGGGCGGCAAGGATCCCAACACTGATTCAGACTCTCGCCGACAGCCGAGCGTCTAGACTCCAGAGACCTCATAAGGAGAATTTGATAGATACCGCTGGCCTGAGACAGAGATTGATCGGATAGGAAACCCGAGATATCGATTGGGTCCGCGACAGCTCTCAGGAGAAACAAACGAAAGGGCCACCAACTATGCCCCGGTCAGCTTCTTGCTTCGCGCTGACCGTTCGAGTTCCGGCTCCGTCCCGACTCGTTTGAAGTCTGAGCGTCCATCTCTGAACGAATCGCTAACCCTCCTCCGACTTCAAGATGAGGAAATTGAGCGCGATTTCCCGCTGATCTTCGAGTGTTGGCCCAGATCCACCGACTCAATGGGAACGGCTCTAGGAGGATCTTACTCCGGTCGACATCGGTTATCTACTGTTTCTCCCGCTTACGCAATCAATCAAACAAAGACATGAGGAACCTATAATTAGTGAGCAGTGATCCAAGCTGTCAGCGGCGCGTGTCTCCCGGATCAGGTATAATACGGACGGCAGGGGACTTATTCCACCCGGATAGTCTCTTCTTCGGCTGTGAATTATATTACGTTCGGCAGATTCCGGATCCGCATCGCTTTTGTCCCACCAAAATAATTTTCGATGCATGACATCTGCGAGAAGTTTCGGGTCGATCCACGCGATCGATTCGCTGCCGATCTTTTCTTCATCCTCGTCTGCAAGTCAACGGAGGAAGTCAGAAGGGTTCGAAAATCGAGTTTACCATATACTTTCCATGAGAGACTTTCGAATCCCATGATTGCGTATCGCTGGACTGGCCCAGATCGGACCTTCGCCGACCAGAGTTCTCGGGAGCGTCTGTCCGAACCAAGCGGATGAGGATTCCGCTCTACGTCGCAGTCGATATGCCCCCAGCCGATCGGAAATCCCCCGATTCCAGTAATGAGATCGAACTCGGAGCGTTCATGCAAACTCTTCCTGCTCGGTGAAATTACAATAGACGATCGAGATTGAGTACAATATTTGCCCGTGTCAGATTCCGAGGAATACATGCTTTCGCAATAACATGAATGCGGAATCATAGCAGCATTTCGTTTCCCCCGACATGCCGCTCATATGATTGAGTCTCTTGTCCGAACCTGTCGCTGGGATCCCGGATCATTTAGACGGCTGTAGACTTCAGCTTCTCTCCAGACGAAGAGCGCAATGTTCTAGATCCGAACTCCGCGCATTGCGAAGAATCCCTCCTCAGACATTCGGAACATAGATTGGAATTCGATTCTCGAACATTGCGGACTCAGCACCTCCCCGAAACCGGATTGAATTGAATAGCGTAGAGAAATCCGTCCACCGAAGGCAACTATTGCCCGATATGATTTTCAATCACTTTGGGTCGCTGCCTCACATTGTTACGATGTGCGTGATAGCTGATTCTACGCCTCAAAGCGAATTAAGCGGAGAACGACCTTCCCTGGGGAACTTGACACTTTTCTCGCTGTAGAAAAACTCTCCGGCCGGAGCCATTCATCTCGTTTTTGTCCCCTGACTTAAACCGACGATCGCTCATGGGACAACTCAGATTCAAGGGCAGGCGGATGCTTTGACCAGGAACGACATTCGGTCCCAGAACAGGAGAGCTCCCGATTTTTGAGAGAGGAGAGGAGGATCCCAGTCAAAACATAACCACTGCATTCTGCTAACGGGAATTCTGTAGCAGGGATGTCGACGGCGATCAGTGATCAGCGATTAGAGTTCACTGGCAAGCTGATCAGAGGTGAACCTTCCGTCTCCCGAAACTACTTCTGTCGGAGCAGTCTATCGAATCCACCCAGGGGCTTGGGGCGAAAATAGACTGGAAGTTCCCGATCTACGAGTTGTTCGACTGACTAGACAAGTCCCAAAAGAACAAAGCCGGAGTCGGAGTCCCAGAATCGGGCATCGGATCAGCAAGGTCAACCAAGCAGTCAGCGAGAGAAAGCTCACCAAGAAGAAAAGTGCCGCGGATATTTTTCACGGATTTTTCAAGCGAATGCATTGAATTTTTGTGCACCTACCCGCAGAAAATATTACCGCTTATCTAGCTGAGCGTTCTAACTAAACAAGTTCGACGAAGCAAATGAATCGACGAGAACACAAAGCATATCGAGACATGTGAAGACGCTGGAAGGGTGACCTTGCGCAGTTTCGGAGCCGTTGGAGCCTTAGTTGAAAAACGTTTCACCTCTGACCCGAGGGCTGATCTAAGATCTACGCAGTCGTCGCGGATGCGATTCGATTATTGAGAAGTAACATCGGAATGTTGCTGTCGACCTCTCTCTCTCTCCGTTCCGGGAGCAGCGGTACCTTCGCGGTTCAGCAGACCGAATACGCTGATGCCGAGCCTCAGAATCTCCGAGAGACTGAGTCCTGGGTCCTCGGACTCAGACACCTCCGCTAACGTGGGATACCGTGGGATAGAGGCCGCCACTCGTCCTGCTGGACACTGGAGCGGGGATGCGGCTGGGGATGGAGCCCGAGCATTGCCCTCAATCGTTTCGCTTATACTTTCACGCCGACAGCGATTGCAGCCTTTTTATCGGTTCGAAGGGCACACGTTGCCCTTAAATATCCGCTTGATGCTGAGCGCGGAATCGAATTTTCGAGCTGTCGCTCAGATCAGTGATCTGTTGTGATCCGATGGCGTCATGATCATGGCCTCCGCGATTTCGGCAGTTGACGTCAGATGGACAGTTTCGGTACAGAAAGGCTACACCACCGGCTTGACGAGCGGCATGGCCAAGAGCTACATGTGTGTCCGAGCGACGCGCCCACGGTAAATGGCGCTTCAGTTTCTTGAAAGCGTCAATAAGTTCCCGGGAGCGGCGCCAATGGCAGCTCAATCTCATGCTTCTCGGTTATGAATAACGAACAAAGCGAACCATATGACAAGGTGGCTGACAACAATCGAACCGCTTAAGAGCGCATGATTGCGGTGGCTTACATCATCCTCGCTCCTCGATTACTCCTTCGCGATCGTATGCGGTACAATTTTCGCCGCCCTGAATTATTATATGCATCAATGAGCGAACAGCTCGATAACAGCTTGAATTATCTGAAAATATGGACCGAGCTTGCCGCCGGGCCTGCGGTGAAATATCCGAAATTGGCGCTCCTCAGTCTCCGAGTGCACTATTTCAGGAGATATCATTCGCCGAGGACGGGCGTTTTAGCGCCCTGGAATGATCTCGATCGATAAAAGCCTCCGAATGGTCCTCACAGTAGAAAGCGGTCCGGAGCTCATCATCACGGCTGTCTACGCGTTGGGCAGGCTCCAGCGTTTGGAAAGTGATGGGTGACTCATCGTTAAGGCTGGGAATAATTCACGGCATTTTTCCCGAAAATTCACGGCAATTTTCACCCCCATTGACTTCCTATGGAAACCGTGAAAATTCACGGCTTTTGGCGCGATCGCGCCAACTTCCCAGCCCTACTCATCGTGCTCAGCAAGGAATCGACGATTCCCGAAGAACCCTGAACGTGATGCGTAATGCTCGCGACACCTTTCGTGATCTTCCACGACTCCCGCTACGATACCGACGCCTTCAATTTTGAAATGAATTCTCGTGATCCAGATTACTCCGAGGAACTGATACGTCCGCGTAATTCGTCCGGAAGAATCAATCGCCAAGCGTCTAATGACTCGTCGTGATCTCTAAGTCCCCCGATTTCCTCATCATAGAATTTGGGACACGAATCATTGACATTCCATGAGAGTTAAGCGGATTCTTGTGCGAGGATACCGAAGGCATCCGAGATATATGACATACCATACAAACCATAAGTCCATACGAGCCTTGTTTACGGATGAACCCGATAGGTACCGCATTCGGCGGCGTCCGATGCCGCAACTACCCAGCGGACCAGCAGATATATGTGATATATGTATGTGTCGTAAGTCCGAGCTCATGAGATAGACGATATCATCTGCTCGAGTCGGCTCAGCTTCCTCCACTTGGGTCACGGAGCTCAAATCCAGATCGCTCAAGGGCCGAATGAAATAGGACTAACGTTTATCTGTTTTCCAGTGGTGGACTCAATGGGCAAACCACCCTCGGGTCTCGCGTCGGGCACAGTTGCAGACTTGGGTAATTACGACCAATGCCTCGAAGTCGTCGCACCCAACGGAGACGATGAGGTTGACTTCACAGGTGAGTTCGAAGCGCCTCTACCGACGATGAATTTGGTGACGTTCCGACGACAGTGATTAGATAGATATAGCCATGGGGAACGACGCCAGCGAGAAAATTACTCTTTACCATTCAGAAAAATGGTCGGAAATTCAGTGGGAAGATCAGAAAGTCATCTGTCAAAGCAATTGAAAAATACAACACGGTGTTTTGCTGCAAGGGAACCATTGGCAATCGAATACTGCGAGTCTGAACATCGAATGATCGGTGACCGAAAACAGAAGTCTCGAGGCGAAGGCTGGTCGGTGAATGCTGATTTTCCCGCGAGATGATGATTTTTCGCAACTTTTTCTTTCAACGACTCTCGCGTAACGCCAAAACGATTGGTTTTTTCCTCAAATGATCAGTGTAATAAGCCGCCACTGGGGTGAAGGTTGAGAGAACCAGAATATCAAAGTGTCGCACGAGTCCGACACGCTCTACAACGACGGCACCAACAACGCAAAGCAAACACGAAGGAAAACAGAGGGAATGAAAAGATGACTTTCAACATTAGTTGCTCCTGTACGCAACGACGACGTTCAGTTACGTGTAACTTTCTCAGCACTTCTCAAAGGAACCTTGTTGTCGGATACCTTTCCTTTTCTAATTCAATTCCTCCCAAAGTCCTACTGCTTTGCTAGTCTGCAATCGACAAAGAAATTTCATGAGTTAATCGAAGCGACATTCCCCTCTGAGACTCGGCTCCGGAGTCGCTCGACCCGATCCGGGTTGTTATCATCAACATTCCTCCCGAGACCTGCTCTCGACACCACCGCTGCCGCGCTGTCGTTCTTCATGTTATTACCATTTCTGTCCCTGTCCACGTAATCAAACGACTATTTATAAAGCTTTCGCTATCGTTCGAAGTACTGCATTCGTGGAACAAGCGTTTCTGGGCATGCTATTCTGGTTGTTCTCGTACGATGGCCTGCAACCATGGTCTAGATCCGCACGTCCTCGAACAAAGTCGAAATTACGGATATTTCCGTATTACGGCGAAAGATACCGATCCCGAGCCCACGCTCGCGTTGCCGCCCTGTTCGCACAAGAATCTCTCAGTACGGTGATCCGATTCAATTTCGTACATGACAAAAATGGATTCGTATACCCAATCCAAAATCCTGGAAAAGTTGGAAAGATCGCAGCGCAGAAGATAAATGAGCCTGCTTGGAGTGATCGCGCAGTGCTTCGTCTTGACAGATTCTCTGGAAGAGGTCCCTGGTGGAACACTGTAGGTGTCCGCGCATAGAAGCCGGGACTTAATTTGATTGTTGCTTTCGCATTACCATCGACCTTCGATCATTCCGCTGTATCCGAAAACAGCCGAACTGCGGTTGGGGTGCAGCGCTCCCCTGATGACGGACACGGCTTCGAGGCGGCAGTGGGCGGCAATACCGCGGAGAGCATTGGAAATATGCTTTCCCCGCTAGACAGGGTAATCGAGCGCACCATGTTTTATTCGTCCTCCCGAACTCTGGTCGCTGTCTCAAAAAAAAGACGAAAAGTCTAAAAAACTTCGAGAGCGATCTCGGACATCGGAACTGATGAGCTCCCACATCGCGAGGGAAAACATCTCTCTCGAGGAACGATTTGATTTCCGAAACGAATTATGACAGATTGGGGAACTGGCCCTACGGGATGAATCGAGTCTCAGCACCTCGAGGAGCTCCGAATCAAGGTGAACAGACTACATTCGAGCGATGTGATTCGTTTCATCGAGAACGTCTCGGCTAATGCACCCGTTTTTTCTCTCTTGGTTTGCTCCTCTGTTATAAATGATACCAACGTGGTGCTCACAGAGAGGAGCCACAGTGGCGACAATTTTCGAGAAAAACGCAAAAATCCGCCCCTTCCGGAGAGTAGAAAGTTCTGGCTTCTCGTGGTGGTGCTCGGTGATTCTAACAACTTCCTAGGCTATCGCACTTTCGCAGTCTATGAACTTCGTGTCGCTCAACGAACAGCTCTCAGTGGTAAACACATCTGAGCGCAGCGGCGCTTTTGCAAAGAAACGATCAAACTCCGAATAGCGCTCAGCTTTCCCATCGTATTCTCTATGGAGGCAACTACCCTAAATCTACTGTTTGATTGTTATGTTTGGTTTGTATCCCTTCCGAGCCAGATGTGATTGGAGTGGTCTGAACAATTGTCCTCGACTCACATCAGCTCGGCCAAGGAGTCCGGACTACCTTCAGCCTGCCAGTTTTCCGTTACTTAATTCTGAGCTGCTTTGATTAATGTCCGTTTCTGCACCCGACGCAGCCCGTACGGTCGGCGCCCACTTCTGTCTGTATTTATAGCGTCTGTATCGGACGACCAGAATCACTAAAGTTTCAATGTTCACGAATGCAGAAAAACAGCTAAAGAGCCCTTCGCTCCTCGAGCGGCGCGTCCTTGTTATTATGTAACGTGTCGACGTGCGCTTTGCTGGTAGTTTCGCCCTTTTCTTTATATTCTGATAGCTACCTCTTATTTTGTTCATTTCATTCCTCTTGTCTGAAGGTAGTTCGCAATTTCGGCAAGCTGCCTTCCAATCAGGAAATAATTAGCTTCGCTTGATGACTTCCCTTTGATATTGAATGTCAAGATTCGAAAAGGAGGCGCCTGTCGCAACTCCTCAATGTTGAAACAGAGAAAATTCCTCCTCAGTGCGTGACGTCCGTATGGGACATATATCCGCAGAGCGATTTTTTGCTGTTCGACAAGAAGGAGTTAAAGCAGTGGAAACTTATGGAGAGAGACCAGAATTCTATGAAAATGGCATGCGAACTGCCGTTTTCGGCTCGAGGTCTAATCCCGCCCAATATCAGCATTTCCCATTTCCGATTGTTCCACGATTTGCTGACGGTGCTCATTGTAGTTTTCCAAATTCAATGTTGTAACTGTAACGAATTCGGGAAGATGCGATAAAAAGAAACACGCACCGCTCGACATGGCCAGCCAAGAGCTTTTCACCCTTGATGATTTCGGATAGATTCAGCAATGTATAATCAATCGAGTCATTGATCGAATGTCGATCTCTCCAATGACTTTGGTGCGGCTTCCGAGATGATGCCCGACGCGACATCGATCGTCCTGTTCGTCATCAGCAACTATAACTTAACCTCAGCTCGTATCTCTGCACAGAGGAGATGATCAGTGCCGTGTACTGAGAAGATGATTCATTCGGTACCGCGGAGCTCCTCAGGTGCTGGGATCGAGCTCGTCTTCATGAGACAGACGAATGCCGTGAAGGAAAACGTACGCGTGATTGTATCGGTAGAGCCAAGAACCATCACCTGATCTCTGGCTTCCGAGCCGCAGAGTATATCCTCCATGGATGACCCTCGTGAGAGCGAATATCGCGTCTGTGTACCGGGAAGTCTTCACTGTGTCCTAGGCTCCTTCGGGATTCCATGCAGGAACCATCAGGGCTTCGGAATTATCTAACTCCTGCTCCCCATTCGGGAGACTCGCAAACGAGGCTCGATGCAATTGGCTACTTCTCGGAAACTCCTTCTTCGTGTTCCTTGCCAAAACACGGTTTTCCGGGGAAAATCTCTGAGCCCGACGAGCTTGGAAGCTCCACGGTCAATTATGAGTTTTCACCTTGCCGAAAAATAATCTACGAAAAATATCAAGCAGATTTCCGCAGATGGGCGTCTCACTTACCAAGAAAATTTTCCTCCCTTCCGGAGACCGGCGGGTACTGATCGCCGATTTCGCAGCGATCGGGCTGATCGAGGAGCACTCTACCCTTCGTGATAAAGGGAGGCGTCAGTCTAGCACGTCAGAGGGATGCGAGCCCAAACTCAGCTAGTAGATCTTAACCGAGCAATCATATTCGCAGGTCAATACTGTACATTCTATATGAATCCAAAGAAAGTCAAGTTCCTGAAGAAAGTCATCGATCGATTCCAAGAGAACGGGGAATACATCAACAGAGCCGATCCTCTCCAATGGCTAAACCAAGATCTATTCCTCGGAGTTCGGATGGGCATATGTATCCCGTCGACATGTTCTGGCGGAGAGATTCAGTACATGGCAAAAGCACGTGAGTATTTCAACTTTGTAGATTCAGATAAGTTGATTGCCCGGCTCCACTTCAAATCCGATGGTGTGTTCAAGTCCGGAGGTCCCTGGCGGCTCGCTGGTCCGTTATGGCCTTCCCGGCGATCATGCGGAATGACCCACTCCCCATAGAATCGGGAGCAGCAGGCTCCCTTCGAGTTATTCCCCAGCAGTTCCAGTTTAATGAAAAGCTGTCGCCTTTACAGTTCTCGAAAAGTACGGAGTCATTCCCACGGTGGCCGGCTGCGAACTCCCGAGGACCGGCAAGGAACCGCTTACGAGAACACAAAAGTTCATGTTGTAAGTTGTTTTTCTCAAAAGATGATTCTCCGTCCGAATGGTTCCAGTGGTCTGGTGAAATACATAGTGAAACTCGTGAATGGGAATCTGTTCTACCCGGCTTTGCGCTTCACTTGAAATCGCATATCAACAAAACCCAGTCGAAAGCCTCGACAGCGCACATTGTATTAAGAAGGTCGAATCAGCAGAAGGAAAATTACTTCTCAAGAACATAAAGAAAACACTAAACAGGCGATTGCTCACCCAGCGTCGCGATATCCAAGAATTGGAATCTCATCGGGAAGCATCAGACGATGTCTGAGACGACTTATGATTATCCCGCGGGAAGGAAAAAGTTGGATGGAGTTCCAGCGAGCGCCTGTTAATTAGATTATAGTCGCCGAGGGGGGCTTCAACACCTCCGAAAATTAAATTGTTCGTTTCATTGCTCTCTTAGAACTATTCCAGAAGCGATTCAGACCAGCGGAAGCCTTCTGGTGTCGAGAATTCGTTTGTTTCCGTGAAGCGTCCACCCTAGACAGAACACGCGTTGCTACCTTTTTCTGTAGCTCTGTGGATGACGCAAGGCGGCTCCCTCATTCGTTCGACAAACTGCGCGGATTGATTCAACGTCAGACTTCAGCCGGTGGTCAACATATTGCGAAATCTCAAGAAAATCGGCTCAAACTATTTCTTTCCCAAATAACGACACGAACACGCGAATCTCGCATTCAAGTCGGGAACTACGAGCTTAAATTCGGTAATTTCGGAAAATCTGGATTTTCTGTCTCTGTCGAGACTCGGGCTTCCCCATGCTCCGAGTTCCCCGGACTTATGGCTCGGGGACTCATGTTTCATGGTGGCCTCTTACGATGTCGTTCCTCCCAGGATCGGGGCTTCATCGACGAAGGCGAGCGAGTTTTTTCCAACAATATGTCAAACATCGAAGCTATCTTCAATTCACTGTAAGAGAAATGACTCGTGATCGCCTGGATCCTTGGGAATACTGCTGGAGCCTTGGAAGCCCAGAGTCCTTCCCAAGGTTCGGTGTGAATTGTGGTGGAAACTTATTCAACATGCGTTTGTCGAACAGATTTCTTTGGCCAAAACGACGCGCTTCATTTCGGAGGCTGACTTCATGGGTACATATACGGAGCATTTATGAACGATCGCTGTTACGCTCATGCAGCTCGTGACTCAACAGCTCCCGTCTGTATGAGCGTCGGTGTTCGGGATCGCTTCAGGTTGAGGGTTCACGTAGCGTAACCCTTGCATAACAACAGAAAAAACTTTTCCTGCGGCATCGACGGTGAACCTTGTCCGCGGTCGGAATGCCCTCCAGAATAAAGTTATGCCCAAACGTACGATGACCACCGGAACGCGAGAGCCCCCAGCTGGAACGCTCGGCTTCAACGATCACCGCGATTGCGGTGTTTGAAGTGCACTTCTCTCATTGCAAGATCGTCGGTCCACAGGTCGCACATTCGTGGAGTTAGACTTTGATCGCAATTTCGTAATTTGATGAGCAATCCTCAGACTGTCAGCATGTGGATCGCCGATCTTGACGTACGTTCACCGTCAGCGTGGAGGCGTGACCTCGTTAAACGTCAAGAATAACGGACCGGGACCTCCCGGAGCCCGCTCCTTTCTAGAAGAAAATTACCGCCTGTCTTCGTAACTATTGGAACGCGCGGATCGCCACCCCGAACAGATACCGATCGATGGATCGATTCCGTACTGGAAAAGCGAGACTAATGCGAATTGACGGCCTTAGAGTCGCGGCTCCCCGATACGTTTTTTTCCGCACGGTAGAATATCGAGGAGAATTCAAACATATGCGCGACGCCTCCGAAGACGGAGTCTTCCAGAGCGTCTTGATAAATCGGCAGTAGCCGGGGACAGAAAGATTGAGACACGCAATCCATCTCCTTGACAAATCCGTCTGTACGAATTCGTAACGGAAATACTTGATCGTCGGTCACACCGCTCCCGGTGGTGTCAGTCTCAGGAATGTCCGGAACTGACGCCCCGCTTGCGTCTCCGGGGTTATTCATATCTATTGGAAGATAAGAGGATCAACGCGGGAAAATATGGAAATCGACTGTGCACTTAGCGAATGGATGAAGAGCCCGCACGGAAAGCGCTGACAACTTCGAGCCGTGAAAATTCGCCCGCTCTTCGATACTCTTGCGTTTGGGTTTATCGCTTGGGGAGCACGGAAACCTTCCGGACATTCACGTAATAGGTAGCAATGAATACTGTGGACGAGGCCCGTCATGATTCGAATTGTATCTGACAAGCTCTACGATTCCAGCGGACTTATTTCAAGCTTTACGACGATAATAACCATCGCATCTTTGTGGGAATACTACTACATTTACTACAAGAAACAACCGAGTCGCTCACGTGAGTATCGCATCCAGGGCGCGGGGTTCGCCATTCGGCGCTCCGCTGAAAAAAACGCTTATGGACGTTTCCCGCCAACCGCCTGCCTGATCGATGATCTCATTATTACCCCCCCCCTCTCGGCTTTCAGTCAAACCGCTGTACACCGTGGTGCACTGTTTCTCCGCCGTGGAAAACACCAGGAAACTCTTATCCACGAAAGTTGCGCTAGATTCAGATGCCTACCGTCTCAGATTCATTCATGGAATGCGTTTCTTCAGCGCATCGTGGGTCATCTTGGGGCATACCTACTTCCTGATTATCCCCACCGCACTCGCGAATTCGCTGAATATCATCAAGCTGCAAGTACGCAATCTGTCCCTGCCCCCAATGAGTAACTGGACAGAGTCTCTGATAATAATCGTTTCAGCTGGAATCTCATAGCGAATGACGGCCAGTGTTGTTCTTCAGAATTTACAAAAATTCGACTGCCTGAGTACTTTCGAAATCTTCCCCATCGCTTTCAGTAGGTCCATCCCACAGAAAGATCGCTTATGGGTGCTTCAACGTAAACAAAAAAAGGAGATGCAGTGAAAAGTTTTTCGCTTGTGAAAACCTCAGATGCGAGTCTCCCAAGAGCTACAGGGTTGCGACATGTAACAAAACCTTTCTTGAATTCCGGCAAAGCTTCGGAAATCTAAGCTAGCCCAAAACTTCCCTCACTCAGTGCTGGGAGGCCGTCGGGACTGTAATTGAAAGCCCAGCTCGGATTCGAACGCTACAGCGTAATAGTTGTCTTCAAGTCAAAGAGCTGTCACTCCCGGCGAGCGCGCGTATGTTGTCATCAGTCAGCCGCGCTTTGATTTCGCATCGAATGATCCGGGTCAGCGACGCGACCTTTGCGGAGCAGCGTGAAATTACCGATTATAGCCGATCTTATCAGACACGAATTTAAAATATACGACTTTCAGAGGATTATTGTGCTGCATTGGCACTGTAGAAATGGCGAAACATTCGAGCACCTCAATGCGAGGAACTTGAGAACTTGGAATCGGAAGAAGTGCCGGACGAAGTAAAGGGTCGCGGAGGCTAACATTTATTCCAACATCTGTGAGGATCTATTTCGATAATTCCAGGAAGACATATGGTTCTGTCTGATCGGCAACGCCTTCCCGTGCATCCAGACTTTCTTGTTCATGTCCGGATTCCTGCTTTCGTTTAACGTGTTGAAGTACCTGAGCTCTTACAAGAAATCTCTTGCAATGCCCATATTCCTCTTGCTGGCAAGACGCTACATTCGTCTGACCACTCCGATCATGTTCCTTGTGGGTCTCTTTCTGGTTTTGCCCCGCTTTATCTCGGGGCCCGTCTACTCAGAGTACAAGGATATAGTTTTCGGAACGTGTGAGATCAACTGGTGGAGAGTCCTACTGCATGTAAACAATTGGATCCCCTTCTTCGACATGTGCCTCGCTCATCTGTGGTACGTCAGTGTCGATTGGCAGATCTACTCGACTCTTTGGGTAAGCTCAACCTCTCAAGCCTCGGATCCCATCATAACAGCTTCTGAGCCGTCCACGTTCTAGAATCTGCACGCTGCCTCACGGAATTCGACGGAGCGGATCGCCATACTTTCGCGGCTTCCTCTAATAGAACCGGGCGACGATTCCAGGTGATACCAATAATCATGCTCAGGCGGAAACGCTTAGGTCTTGGACTGTGTGCCCTGGTCATTTTCGGTACAGCCGTAATGGTGGGCATTCAAACCAAGGTCAACAGTTACCAGCCGACGCCAATCTACTCGGACCCCAACGTTAATCGCACATTCGACGCCAGCAACGAGGTGTATTTCAAACCGTTCGCGCATGCAGGATCGTTCTGTATAGGAATCATCACGGGTAAGACTCACAACAGTCTTTACGTTGGTGTCTCGGTCTGAGCTGCGTGGCTCTGCTCCGCAGGAGCGTCGTCGCAAACGTCGGCTCACGTCCAATCGTCGCTCTCATTCGATCGAGTCATCAGTTCAGACCTATGGAGCTGAAAATGAATATTCAGAGGAGGAGGAACCGAGGATGACGGGGCTACGTTCATCACTATCGGTATCAACTGTGGCAGCATATAATAATCGACAGAGCTTTACGGAAATATTTCTCTCCTAGGTTACATGGTGCTCGCCTACGGCACTTACAAGCTGGCCGTGTGTACTCAAGGATTGCTGTGGATCCTCTCGGGAACCATAGGCTTGTTAGTCGTTTTCGGACCCTACAAATGGTTCGCCGGTAAGTCTGATCGGAAGTGTAGCGGCAGCATCTGTCGCAATTCTAACCCCGAAAGATGCTCCTTTCGGCTCGTTTGTTGAAGCCCTCAAGAACGAAGCGTGAACCTCATGATATGTGTCCCGTTCCGTCTCGAACTGTGAGGTTACGCTTGCGTAACTCCGTCGTATTTCATGAGTTAGGACTCGAAGCGCGAACACTTGCAATTCCAAGCGTCTATCCCGAATATGAGATTGATCGTTGTTAAGTCAAGTAATTCCGCAGGAGCCCCTCATGAAGGATGGGACGCCGTCATCTACGCAGCGACCCACAGAACCGCGTGGTCCATCGGTCTTGGTTGGCTTTCTTTCGCCTGCGCCACGGGTCGTGGAGGTCTCATCAATGGACTGTTGGCTTGGAAAGCCCTCATCCCGATGAGCAGACTGTCGTTCTCGGCATTCATGCTCCAGACCGTCGTGCTTCTGACCAGAACGATGACAGCGCGAGATAGACTCATATTCAGCCACGATTATTTGGTAAGCGGATCATGCAGCACAGAAGCGCTGGTGCTTTGGATAATAATGAGCTTATCAAGGGCTGATGATCGATTTCGACCTCTTCTAAAACGATCACTCGATCTGTTCCAGTTAAGAGACTTCTTCGCGACGTACATGGTGACCTACCTAGCCTCATTTGTGATGTACCTTCTAATTGAGGCACCAATCGGAAACTTGGAGAAAATGATTTTCATGAGAGCAACGCCCAAAAAGCCCCTCGATCCGCCACCGATACAGACAAACGGTCAAGTGGAACACGTCGTCACAATGGAATCGATTCAGAAGAAACAGTCCCAGTCGAACGGAGAACTGAGGACTGTACGCCTCTGATGACGAGTTAAGCCTATGTGTGTATGTGTTTAGCTTCATGTGAAGCACTTGTGCGTGAATGTCAATGTACCTTACTCACTGCGACGCGTTAGCAGACCACTGAGGTGTCTGTTCTGTGATGCCTAGTCAAATGTCAATCCTCGTGTGTCGACCTCGCAGCTTCAATAAGTGCAACCGGAAGCATCAGCATCATTTGAGAATCCGCAAAAATCTCAAATGGTCCCTCTGATCCAAAAGCAAGAGAGGGACAGTGTACGGAAAAGGTCAGCGGATCCACTCGTGAACCGGTGTGAGGAGTTGCCTGCGCACCGTGAGTGTGACGCTGACGCGTACTCTTTGTAGTGTTTCGCCGTGAGAATGGTTGGCCCGCTCCGAAGAGCCCCGGGTCGTGGCCGTATTGCCCAGACCCGGGATGTAAATTTCCACCATTCGATCGGCGTAAACTTCATGCTTCTGTTAGGTAGATCGTTAGTGTAGAGAGGGCCGGTGTTCAAGCGGGATGCTTGAATTCCAGGGACGTTCGCATCCCAAAAAAACTCATATCACAAGCAAAAGAAAATCACTTTCTCCGAAGACCTGTCACCCTACGATTCGGAGAGGAACCTGATTGGTCACCGCAAGAATCCGCCGGATTCTTGCACTCCAAATTACACCAAATAAATGTTGTGTTGTGAGTCTAAGAAATATCGTATTTTCTTCCCGCTAGAAGATTTCACTCAATCATTCACTGGACGAGACTATGAGAAACTAGCCCAGCAGTGGATTGGGGCGAGAGCCCCGTCCGCTTTGGCTCCTGGGCTCGCAGATTCCATCGGCGGAGACATTGTGATGAATCATGTCCTGCTGGGGATTCAGGCTGAGACGGCAATCGAGGCAGGGAACTTCGACTGACGGATGACTAGTGTGGCTATGGCTAGAGCGATCCCCATGTCGCACGCAAGTCAGCGCAAAGCCCCTCCACTTCGTGGAACGATATCGCATTGCGCAGGAACTGACCAGCTCACACCCAGCGACCGCCCTCTCTGAGTAAGGGTTGCGCTCCTTTTGGGCTCCGGGGAGGTCTCTACGGGGGCCCCATGCTCTCCGGGCGACTTTTGGCGCAGGTTTCTTACGCGTCAGCCTACCGAGCCTCAGTGCGTCACAGGCTCTCGAGCCCCTCGCCATAGGGCCGGGAAAAGATTAAAGAAGAGAGAACCCTCCGGAGATGATTGAGAAGTTCTAATGGCGAGAGCCAGCAGCCTCCCCATTCAATCTATTTAGAGAGAGAAGGATCCGGTTCAGAGAAAGCGGAATTAGCCCTTGACCGTTCGCAGGCTCGGAGATTTATCGATTGTCAATTTGTATCTGATCTGATTAATAAATGGAATTTCCCACGGTTCGAGCTCAGAACCTCCCAGTGACGAAGGATAAATTCTCAATTTGAGCGCACTCAGGGTGGCAAAATCGGTTCATGATTGGAACTAGGATTCCGGACACAGACAACTCATCGCCGACCAACTCATCGCCGAAATCTAAACGCCGACTTCTCAACGCCGGATAGCTCAGCGCCGGATAGCTCAGCGCCGAGACAACTCAACGCCGAGAAAACTCATCGCCGGACAACCTAACGCCGGACAATTGATCGCCGGTCAACTCAACGCCGAGGACCTGTCGGGTCCGGTCAACTTAGCGCCGAGAACCTGTTGCTAACTCGATTTTAGCTCAGGAGGCACACTGCTTGAAAATGATGCGTCCAGATGATTTGCTATCCCAAGTACACAGCTTGACAATATGTACTTCCAGACGAGTCAACGACTTCCACCCGTTTACGGTAGTCGAATACTTGCGCGGGTGCGCGAAGACTTCCTTGTGAAACCCTGGATGATTGCGTGCATATCGGAAAAAGCTCGAAAAGAAGTACCTTAACGGACGAGGTCGATGAACACTGCCGAGGTCCTGGCCGTCCTAGCAGATTCTATACTTAAGACTTGTCATAAGGTTATGTGAGAATAAAATGACGCAAATATGACGAAGCAGGAACGCATCATCTGATTTGAGGTGAACGCATCATATTCGCGCAAAGAACATCCGGAGCAGGCTAAGTTTCGGCGTTGAGTTGACCGGCGATCGATTGTCCGGCGATGAGTTGTCTCGGCGTCGAGTTGTCTCGGCGTTGAGGTATCCGGCGTTGAGAATTCGGCGTTGAGATTTCGGCGATGAGTTGGTCGGCGATGAGTTGTCATGTACCGCTAGGATTCGGCTCCCGAACCCTTCCCTGAGTCGGGGAGCATGAAAACGAGAAGCTCATCTCTCACTTAGAGGAGGAGCCCCTTCCGGGATGCGATTGGGAGTGCAAGCATTCCGACTAGAGACCATCTCGGTGGAGGTCAAGGCATCATCATCGGGGGATGATGATCAAATATTGATTTTATTCTCCGTGCTTAATTTCATCCGCAGATCGGTCGTCGTGATCTTACGATCTACGGTTCGCTGCCAAGTAATTCGAGCTAGTTCGGAGGTCTTAATGTCAGCACTCGAACGTGGCGACACATCCGACAGACAGGGGTGGAATTCAATGATGGAGAACTTCAGCCACAGAATGAGGATGTCATCTTACACATCGCCGCTTCCGAGCGGTCGAAGTTTCAAAATTGATCCGAATATTCGCACCCGCCTCGAGTCCAAGAATAATGCATCCATTCCAGCAGGATCATCGGCCACCGCCGCCGCCACCATATCATCGCTAGCCGTCGTCGTCGTCTTGCCTGCCTAGCAGTAGCGCAAAACACAGGGCGTCCTGAAGCAGTCACCACATTGTTGAAGAGTGCGCGACACCGCCGTTTCTTCCGTAGACCAAAGCAACAGGAGCACGGTCTCTCCAAGCGGCAATTATCTTCCCTACGTATTCGAATATGACGGGATCTACAGAGTAAGTTGACAAGTTTCACACAAAGCCACGCTCATACGCGATCTTTCGGCGACAATTCTCGAGACTGATTTCAAAAACGCGCTCGAGGCTGCCGCTGTCTGGAAGCTTCTGGATGCCGCCGGCGTTTCAAATTCATTCGGAATCAGCCGCCAAAAGCGAGCTTGTCGGGAAGCCCAATGGTCGAATCTCACTTCCCGAGCCGATTTCACTGAAGCTGTTAGAAAGAGCTCGAGAAATTCGATTGCAAGTCGGAAAAACTGTCCGACGCCGCTACCACGCGCCTGCTAGTCTTAGATGTCCATTGGGCATGGCGTTGCCTATCATTCCCGTATCATCGATTTCGGGACCCGGATTAAAAATACTGTGTCCGGATAAGAGTTTTGCAGCGTTTTTTGCTGATCGAGGACATTTCCGAATTGTGGTGGGTAGGCGTTTATGCTGCCCGAGTCCTGACTGAGTGCTGCCGATCTGACGGAACTTTCTCGTTCGCGCCGGCGGGTAGCTGACGAACTGACGATTCAGGAGGCGCGGGTTGCTTAGTATACACGGTCGCGAGGACGTCGAAAACACTCCTCTCGGGCAGATTTTCGTCAGGATCCCCGAGGAAAAAAGCTGATCTAGCTTTCGGAGCAGTAGAGAGAATTCTCATTTTCGAAGCGCTCCCACAAAAGTCGACCGGTGTGGAAACATGGGCTCTCGACGGAATGATAATGATTCTCATTGTTCGTTGTACTCGAATAGGCGACACGAGGCCCGCGACACGCAGAACGTCGATCCGATCCCCTTGGATTCATACCGAAGAGAAGACGTCTATGAATCACGCCATAAACTCGATATCCTCTTTCAGCGTGCGCAACCCGGTGGTCCTCTGGGCCCAACGCAGGGACTGTGTCTACATCACGATCGCGGTCGAGGATTGTAAGAACGCTGATCTGAAGATCGAGGCTGACAAGGTCCTTTTCAAGGGGGACGGAGGCGACAAACTACACTACGCGTGTGCTCTGAACTTGAACAACAAAGTCAAGAACGACGAAAGCAAGTTCGTCGTGCGCGACAGAAACATCGAAGTACTCCTGAAGAAAGAAGAGGAACAATATTGGCCGCGACTCCTTAAGGAGTCCACCAAAATGCATTGGCTCCGAGTCGATTTCAACAAATGGAGGGATGAAGACGAGTCCGATGATGAGCTCGGTGGTGGTGGCGGAGGAAACTTCGAGGACATGATGCGCCAGATGGGCGGTCTCGGTGGCGGTGCCGGTATGGGAGGTTTCGATGGAGCCGAAGAAGAAGATTCCGACGACGATGAACTGCCTGATCTAGAATCAGCTAAGGATAACAAGGAGGAGGAGAGGAAAGAATAGTCACGCAGTTCATGCTACTCTAAATACATCGTCGCAGGAGAGTCAGTCGGTATGCTTCACCAGGGAGGCCTGGTCATGAACATGTTGTAAATACACTCTCACCGCAGTTTCGCCCTAATAGTTTCCTTCACTGTAATAAACTACCCAGCGGAAAGACTTTCCTTCGACCTCCAGAGTTTTCATCCCCTCCAAGATCGCCGTAGAAAAACTCCGGATGACGGTGTAGAATTTCAGAACAAAAACACTGCGGGATCTCGAGTCGCATCCGCAGCAGAACGCGAGAAACTGAGTTCCTCGGTATTTTTTCGTCAGCAACTCTCCGGCAAAAGTCCGTACGCACTTGACAATCCGTGGTCCGGAAGAAGAGTTCGGTCCGTTTTCGACCAGCATGGTTCTCGGTCAGGAGTAGGCACTGGGCTTATTTCTTGAGGTGTTTCTTAAGATATTTCCCACAAATTCATAGAAAGGATTTTAAAAAAAGGGAGACAGGTCTGTGACACCGACCGCACCTGTCCAGACGAGGAAGGACACATTTTCCGCCGCGCCGCTGAATAAGTTCGATATCGGATGATGAAAACCTGTATGTGGTTGAGGCTCAGATATTCTCATAGTCTTCAACTCCGAGTCATTGCCCCGCTCTTCCACGGAAATGTTTCGGCGGGGAGCGTCGGTTCCCTGTACATGGGGGGAGAATCATTCACCACAGCTTAAGGTCCCGACCGCGATATTCGACTGTGTCGTTCGACGTCCGCGAAACACTTGCAGAGGAGCGGTGTGGTGCAACGAACTCGGAAAACATCAGGCTCGTTCCGAGGAGCGAGTAGAGCTCTGACATCTCCGGCTTGACGAGAACACTTGGGTTCTATCCCGGATAGCGAGTCGTACGACTGGAAGGCGACGCTTCGGACGATCGAACAGTATTCGGAATCCTCGACCAAGCTGTCGCGTCGCGCTTCGGGTGGGAGACTCCGATGAGGGGGTTCCTGATCTCGCGAATATCAGGGAACGGGGACTGGACTCCGAACGATATCGAAATCTGACTTTCAGCAGTGGAGGGATCCGGAAAATAGTTCTCATGTAGCGCTACCTGCGATAGTGAGCGTTCTCCGGTACTGTTGAACGTTCAGGTGGTCACTCGTCCTCTCGGAATTCCAAGAATCCGTGAGCAAGAAGAAGTTGTCCTCCACTCGAGTAGGTAGCCACGACCAATTCATCCGTTAGAGTTCATTTTATTAATTTTAATTCCCCCTGGTGAGCTCACATGGTGACGATCGAGCGCCTAAAAGAGCGTCTAGTTAAGGAAAACATGATCTCTTGAAGATCAACAGTACACTATTGGTCAATGATTCTTTATTCAGCGTGATATATACAATTATTACCAGAGGTCAACACGGAAAACGGTCACGCGTTTCAAGGCGTGATTCAGCAAAAATAACTTGTCAATTCTCGATAATGTAAGATTTCTGTACAAGGCAGGGGAAACACTGCAATGTTTGGATAGCGGCACGGATGCCAGTTTCGTCGTATCTATATTTTCTCTTCCCTCTCTCCCTTCCACTTGACTATAATGCCCTCCTTCCCATCGGAAGCGCTTGCTGTCACCACTACTCCTGGAGCTGACTGACTGAGGGGGGCCGACTCGAAATGCGATGATTTCACTTCTCTCCTCGGATTGCTAAACCCCACCAAACGGCGTCAATGACAATCCATGCTCCAGAACTTCGGCAGCCGAACCGCGCGGGAGAACCACGCAGGTCGTGCAGCGGCGACAGCAAACTCGCGAACGAACGAGCGAGCGAGCGATCGCTCGGCGAAGAAGCGTTTGGGATCGACTAATTGCTGGACAGACTTGGGATCGGATGAAGTTCGCTACATATCGTTAACGTTCTTTTTGCTACAGATGTCTTTGAGTGTTTTGAGTTCTTCTATGAGCACAGAGTTCTGATTCTCTAAGACCGCAACTCGATTCTCGAGGCATTTAATGTAATCTTTCTTTTTCCGTCTGCACTCTTTGGCTGCTTCGCGATTCTTCAGAAGGCGTAGCTCACGTTTTCTGGCAGCTTCTTCAGCGATCGTCATCGATTGACTCGTTTGGCTCACCCCGCCGGTCGTTACCACCACTGGGGTTCCGGCCCCCGTGACCTGCGCCGGTCGCAATTGATAAGTCTGCAGGTCGCCGACTCCAGAGACAGTAACGGGTACGAACAGCTGGCCATCGTTGGAGTACTGCACGTACTGTGGGGTATTGACGTCAGTCTGAAGTTGGATCGTTGACGGTTTTAGCTGAAAGTCGCTATCAGAAGCAGTATCGTCTTTGTCGGACGAAGACGACCCCGCTACAACCTGCTGAGGTACGATGTCAAGATTAGGACTGGGGACGTTAGCGCGCGAAGTCTGACACCATTCACAAGAACCACAACAACCGAGTAGGGGGGTAGAGTGGGTAAGGGGGGGGGATCGAGGAGCACGAAATCGATGGTTCAAATCAGAAAACCCGATCCTCGTCTCGTTAAAAGTGCCCGGATCTTTCGTCACGATCTGTCATGAAACAAACAGCACACAAAGCTCTAGGAACACGATAATAATTCGAAAGGGATGAGACGGGGAGGGGGGAGGCAAGCGAGAGAGATATTAGAGATCTCAGAGTTTTCTTCGAAGCGAAGCGAGAAACGAGCGCGAGATATCCGGTCCACACTGCTCATTGACTGAGCCGGGCCGGGCTGGGAGATATGGGGAAGAGGAAACCAATCGCTCGAGTACTCACTTGAAGAGTTCCCATGGTCTGACCGTCGTGTTGGGGCATAGACAAATCGTTGAGGATTTTTCGGTATGACGGTCTCCTCGCGAGAACCTCTCGTCGTTTCCGAGTACCTTCGTCCTCGGCGAGGGTCCCCCCGATCACGCCGCCGTGCACCAATTGGACCGGTACTTCCTCGGCAACCTGTTGACCCGCCGCCGACTGTATCACCGATCCCTTATTGACCGTCAGAATGACTGGGTTCTTCAGCTGGAATCGCACGAAATGGAAAATTCAATCGAGAACTCCCCGTCGTGCTCACGCCGATCAGTGTGAGTGGACGCTCGTCGGATGCGACGAGGCTTTCCTCGAACGTCGACGGATCATGATTGTTCTCAACAGTAATCAGCCCGCGAGCTGCTGCTGCTTCGTATAGAGGAACGGGAGAGGGAGCTCAGCAGCAGCTACACACGGCAAAGCGAGCAGCCGCGCTGATGGTGATCATTTCAGCGAGAGCGCATCGTCTGCTCGCTCTGACGTCAAACCCCATGCCTCCGTTCGGCGCCACCACCGCTAGTCTACCGAGCTTCCCACCGACGAAGAAGAAGCGGAAGGAAGGACGGACCGTCACTCAGTCAGAGCGAGGCGAGCTCACATCTGATCGAGGTCTGATATCACACGTGAGCTTTGACGTCAACGATGACGACAACAGAGCCATCACTTCGTCGACGGGTCGGTCAGCGGCGGCGGCGGCGTCGGCGGCCGAAGGGGGAGGACATCCGACTTTTCCTCAGCGGATGTGTTTTTTCAGGATTAAGACGAATATATTTGAGCACGGCATCCTCTCCGGAATATGCTCGGGATTATAAAAATCTTTGCGCCTCTGCTGTCTGCACTAGACGACCACCGCGCGGATTTCCAACGGGAGTTTTCTCGAGAGCGTATTCTTCTATCGAGTATATGGTAATATCGTCTATATTAACTTTGAGCTACTCACGTTTTGGATGGCGCCCGCCGAAGTAGCCTGAATCACAGAAGTTGTCGCCTGGGAGCCTTGTGTGTGCGACGCGGGTTGAATCACACTCTGAGCCAGTGGCTGGACGTGTACAATTGATAGATTACTGATTGGCTGCTGAAGCGTGATCTGAGTGCCCTGAAGCCACACATGGGGAAGTTAGTACGGTCAGTTGGTCAGCCAACGAGAGCTTAGTCAAATAAATAGCGAACAAACAAACACGTCGACAAGGGACCGTACTAGATTTCGCGATAGGAGAAAAACGAACAACGAGCAACAACAATATTGGCAAGCAGCATACGGTATGGATCAGTCAACTGGATCGAATACGGATTTCGGTTCAAAGGAAGTCGCGAAGGGAATCGCTCGCGCATGGAGGGGGAATTCGAATAGAAATCGGCTCATCGAGTCCATCATTTCCACCCAGTTGACCCGATCTCGGAAAACAGGGAAATCGACCTTGTTCACGCGGTTTCGAGTCACGAAGCTCCATGAGGAAAAAAGCGGGGAACATCCACGCCCACATCTATCGATATAAGGAACACGCGAGAGAACACAAGGAAGTCAAAACCAGCGGTGAAGGCGAAATGAAGAGGAAGTGGGAGACAGTGCACTTAGAGGATTACCTGAATGACCAAACCGTTCTTTCGGACGCGATTCGCGGCTGCGGGATTTGCCGAAGCAAGGGTTGTAGCTCCCCCTTGCGACACAATCTGCTCGCCCGGTGGGGAACGGGGTTGGATCTGCGAACACCGGAGTTCATCAGAACGCTTTTCATCTAACTGAGCTATCGTCTTTTAGTCAGTTCGAAACCAAAAGCACAACATCGCCAGGAACGGTTCTATCACTTCGGTACTTTTCCGTAAGCATCGACGCGGGGCAGGAGGCTTGAGACGTGTCGCTAAGCTGACTCCGCAAGCGAACACAACTCCAGTATTGGCGCTGCCGGGGGAGCGAGGGTCCATCGAGAGTATCTCGCGGAACTTGGGAGGATCGGGAAATCTCGAGTCGACTCATTCAATCGATCGATCATGCCATATGGAGCGACGGAGGGGACGTGCGTCGGTTGGATGGAGTAGATCGCGATTCGAACAAGGATTCCTTCTAACCCAGAACGATTTTGCGGTCGGACATTTGGTCGTGATGAATCAAACAAACAATCGGTCTGAGACACTGAAGCGAGTGCCGCTCGACAGGTGGGCTCACTCCGAGCTAAGATCGGCGCCCGAAATCTGTGGACTCGAAACGCAATGCCGGCCCGAAGAAGCGGGGGAATCGTCGTCGATTGACCTCCAAGTTCGAGAATCTCTCCGAAATTTCAATCCGCGTCGCTTCTCGAATATGCTGAACAAAGACAATGGCCGAGCCTCCGAGTCTCTGGAAAATTCCGAGATATTTCTTGGGCGAGCGATCCAATGGCAGTAGGATGCGAGTGTAGCGGCAGGAACTTTCGATTTTCTCGGCTTACTTCCCGCTTGCCCTGAGAGTCTCATGGATGAGAATTCCGAACACGCCGATCTGTACGCGCCATAGTCGTCATAAGCCAGTTGAGAAGGAGTGCACTCATTGGATTTCGTAATCGGCGAGGCTATCTGTAGTTCCGTAACAAGCTTTCCCGGACTTGACGAATCACTTCTCCCAACAAAGCGATAGTGTAACACAAGGTTACGAATGATGCTCGACTTCGGGTGGGCGTGCGCGAGTAGGTCCTCGAGAGTGTTCTTACTGATTTCCCAAGGAACGAAACCTCGAGAGGCTCGAAAGTACGGTGCTCGATGGATCGAGGTCGCCTCGTAACCTCGTCCTCTACCCCTTCTCGGTCCCCAACATAAGCTCGGGTGTATTGCTCCAGAGGGGTCACAAATCAAAGACATCACACAAAACGAGCGGAAGTCGTGCGATTGCTGAACGACCATGACACAAACACGCCGTTTGATTCCCCGAACTTCCGAGACCTTTGGTCAGCGCTCACAAGGGGAACTGAGAGTCGATCCCCATCGAAAACTGTGTGGATCAGCCCACCATTGAGGAAGTTAGCGGCGAGAGAGGTACAGAGAGCTCAAGCGAGGAGTAAGGATTTGTTCAAAGCAAAGGGGATGCCACGAGGATGTGCCAGCGAGCCAGATCAAGTAGCGGAGCCCAAGTCCGACATACTCGTCATTCCTTACCTGCTGAGGTGTGGTAAACAAAACTGTGGACTGCTGTGGCGTGGCAGCCTGCTGACTGATGCGGACTCCCGCCTGCCCGGCGTTCGTTCCCCGGGTCGAAGGATCAGAGTTTTCGGAGAGGACCTCCATCTTCATCTGCTAACTACGGTCGAGTCGCGAAACATTCAGCAACTTTTGAGTTGCGAACCTGAAAAACGAGTGTACTCTAGTGAGCATCTGAACATTGTACAATAGAGGGATGCGGTTCGGATTTAACATTCTGGAGACCGTTGGCTCTCAGTGCCCAGCCTTATTCCCCCCCTCCCCATCAAAGGGCTTTCCAGAGCAGTGCCGGGTACGGTGGGCACCAGGGGTACCCATCGCGGATCCATCCTGTTTCCCGATTTCGCAGACGATAAGCGCGATCTCTCGATTGACCGTGTTTAGGGTTTACGGGCATCGATTCCTCCGCAGAAGTGCACAAAAAATCATCGAACGTCTCTCGAGTACTTCACGGAAGGCAGAGGTTCTCGTTTTCGGACGACAGTTTTCGCATGTATAATACGCAGGCTGACCGAAACGCTCCGGGGTTTCGGTGGCCTTCTTGGACGATTCTCTTCTACGGCAACTTCCGCTTGAAACGGTTTACCTCCTCGTTGATCGGAAATCGGAAGATTTTCTCGACGCCAGGGATCAAGCCACGAGTTCCGTCACCAGATCCGTTCTCCTTGATCTTTTCAAAACTCATTCCGACGAGGAAAAAAAACTCAGAATCCTTCAGATGCCTAAGAAACCAGAAGCTGCTTCCGACCAGCATCGGAGAAGATTTTCCGCTTCGCCAATCTGAGTCGGTGAGGAATCGCGCGCTGAGCCGATGTGAAATTTTCTGGCTCTATCCGAAGCGCTTTCAGAGCCTCCGAGCCAACAGCGGTCGCAGCGCGTAAAATTCGTCGCTGTGTGATGCAGCCACGAGAAAGCGGGCTGTTGAGCAGTCCCAGCGGAGCAAGTTCCGATTCGAGTCAAATGACGTCGTCATGATGACGTTGTGGGATGCGTTGTGGGCTCGAACCGAGCGTGGCACGGAAATCGCATCGCCGATGTTCACTCATGCCACCACTATCGGCAGTGTTTGTTTTCTGGTATCGTGCGCTAAAGGCAACAGAGAATGACAGCGCGGGAATCGTCATAAGATTCTGAGATATGATTCCAAGCTAGACGAATGCGCGCGTACCCAGATGCGGGAGGGTGCCAAGGACCTTTCGGCGATGTTGCACTCCAATTCATCCCTATCGGAAAGCCGAATCCGCTCCCACGCGCTGCAGTCTCAGGACAGAGATCACAGATCTCACGAAATGATCAATTCTAATTCCCGCTTTGCCGGATGAAGGATATCCGCGGCGTAGCCGCTGACTACATTTCGGAGCCTTCGGCGTATTCCATGGACCAGGATAGATGAACCCTCATGTCACGGAGCTCAACGTATCAGCGAAATCATTCGGACTATTCCAGCAGAAACCTCGAATGAATTCTTCATCCCATGGGTTTTCCGCGCCGTCCCCCTCCGAGAGAATCGAGCAACCGGCGCACATACGCTCATCGAGTACGGCGGACCCCGTATCCGATAGAACCTCCGAAAACGAGGTGGATGGAGACCGAGGTGGTCAGAACTAGACGACGGTCGATGATGGATAGTACACGAGTGACGGCAACCAAAGAATCGGGCGGATGTACGACTGTTTGGAGGTACTAACGAACATAATATAGCGAGGTGAGTATGTACAATAGCGCTCGTCCGAACTTCCTGGCTACCGGCTGGCGAATGCGGGAGAAATGGAACCGCGCACGACTTAATGAGAGGGAGCTCCTACTCGCGATAGAAGACTTCAACCCGGTCATGGCTCTGAAGACACGGGCTGTCCCGCGGGCGGAACTCCACTTCCCACGGGGAGTCCGGGAGGTGATATGTCTGGTCAGAAATGAATTCGCAAATAGAGCTCCAGCTTGGCGTTCTGTTCGGCGAGGGGGAAAAGACAATGGACGCGAGTGGAAGGTCGGAATAGAATAAGAATGGAGCAGTTATCTTCACCCACTCTCCGAGCGACAGAACTCGGACATGTGTTCCTTCCGACTCATGATTAGCAGACCGCAGCGCTCACACACCGAGAAAGCAACGCGACCAGCTCTTATCACAGGTGGCTCTTAAGTCGAGCGATCCCACCATATCCCATCTGAATGCCCGCAAACGTTCGCAGGCTCATGAGGAATCGCAGAGCGAGCAGGAGCCCCTGTATCGAGCGATATTCACCGAACAATGATAGTCATTCCAGCGTTCGCGCAGCCTGAAGTAGTTCAGTGATGGCAACGGATTCACTGATTTTCATGATATATTCCCTTGCTGTGGGAGCTTGTATCAAATGCCTGAAATGCCCGCGGGGATGACGCGGCTGAGTTCCGAATTCAGCCGGCCGCTTCTCGCCACGTCGGGTAGCGATACGGTAATCGACGAAAAGATTGACCAGACCGACAGCTTATTCGATTGATGAATCGATCTGAGGAACTGAGGCGCTCGATGAAGAAACCAGGCGGAAATCGAGCTTTCTCTGACTTCGGGAATAGCTGAATCATATCGAGCTTGATATCGGATCGTCTCCTCGATCGGTCGGTCGGTAAGTCGGCTGCCGCTGTTGCGGTGTGGCCAACTGGCTGGCTAGCGAGCTAACAGTAGGCTCCTATCTCAAGGTCAAATATTCGACGAACAAACGAACGAATGGATCGCTCACTCGCAAGCAAACACCAAGGCTCTCAGTCAGTCGAACAATCTCTCAACTGAACCGCGCGCGGTCTCAGACTGACGGACTCCGGTTCCCTGAAGGAATGATCCGCAGCCTAGGGGCAGATCCGCACAACATAAATGTTCGACGACTCCGCATACCGTCATCGCAGAGGAATCCACAAACGCTCATGAATCGCGGAAGATTCTGAGGCAGAAAAAAAAGATCTCCAGTCTCTCTCGATTTTGGATCGAAAACCGTGATCCGCTCACAATTATTCTATCTGAATATTCCGAAGCTGAGCGTCATCGAAAATAACTCCAAACCTGAGCGTCGACCGATCACCTTCGGAAATTCCAATCGGAGCCGCACCAGCCGATAGGGCCAAGAAAAAGAGAAACGCGCGCGCGGACACACCGTGGCTCTCATCCGACAGAGCCGTGGATCTGCAACTTGTCAGCAGCGCTATAACTTCACGGCGATATCGGCAGCGCGGCGATGGCTGCAAGGCTGATCATCGGCCAAGATCATCGATACAACAGAGATGGTTCTCTGCTCTTCGATATATGGGAGGAATTACCGAGAACGAATCATCCAGGCCATCAGCGGGATAATATTGTTTTCAGGCCCAAATACTGCGTCTGCCTCTTGACGTGTTAATCTTCCACGCGATCACCCTCGTTCCGAGTTGAGGAAAACATCCGTTCCCGCCGATGGAGACAGTTGTGGCGGATCAGGTGACTCGGGAATCCTCACAGCCTCGAGCGATTGCCACTTCCAGTGCTGTCAACAATAAGATTGCTATCGAGCACTACCACAGCTGCGAGGTCTCGCAGCAACTCCCACTACATGAATGAACCGTCCACGACACAGTCCAACAGACCTATCATCTGACCAATGGACCGAGCGAGTCGGGACCTTTCCTCACAAGGTGGGGGAACACCTGAGCGCAATGCACCAGATCGAGCGGCACCCACCCTACACCGATGGGCCGACTACGACCGATCGGACCAGCAGACACGGGAACAGCCCCAGCGTCAAGCAGACGGACCGACGAACCCCTGGATGGACATAAGTACCGATAGACAAACAGTCTGAGTAGAGACCATAGCTAGCATACTAGCACCAGGCAAACAACCAGTCGGGCGGTGGGTCGGTCGGTCAGTCAGTCTTTGGTGCTTGCTTGCTTGCTGCTGCTACTACTGCTGTTGCTCGGTTGGCTGGCTGGCTGGATGGCTGCTGTTGTTGCTGTACTTACACTTACGTAGTAGGGGGATCGTCGTCACCAACCACCACTGACTGGCCGTCCGCTGTTGTGATGAGCCGCTACGTAGAGTCACTGAGTCAACGACGACGCCATCTTCTCGCTTCCCATTGGCTGCCCGATCCACACAGCGCGCTCATTGGCTGCTGCAGATCACGTGACGTCACCATGACGTCATCCAGAAGGTTCTGCAGCAGTGGGTGCTGTACCAGCGCTCGCGCGAGAGCGATAGGCCATTCCCGAAAGCCTTCTTGCTGGTTCTTTACTATGGTTGCCACCGCGAGTAGATCCACGGAAACAACCTCAACAATAGTATCGCCACTATAGTCTCTACCTACCCAGGATCGCGTCCGCTCGCGCGACGCTTCCTCTAGGATTTCCTGCCTGCGCGTACCAGGAAAGAATGAATCTGTCCGAAGATCTGCGCGGCTGGAACTCTGCACCGCAAGCCTTGTCCTTCTCACCGATGACCAACAGGAGCCTCTCGGGCCGTTGCATCGACGGGTCGTGGAGGCGCGCGGGAAAGCGAGACTGGAGGAAGGAAATCCAGGCAGCGCCGAGTGAGGAAATACAAATCATATCCAGCGAACGGAGCCACGGGGAGCTCCCTCCCTGCGGAAGATCCATCGCTTTATTCTCCGGAGTCTCTTATGTTAGAGGTCTCGGTGCAAGAACTCGACTCCGTTACCGACTCATCCAGAGATTCGCCCCCGCCCCCCTCCTTCCCTCGAGGAGTCTTGCGCGCCGCCATGTTTTACCAGAGAGAATATTCCTCCCCGCGAACTCGCCTTGAGCGCTCCGGTGCTGAGGCGCTGCAATCCTGCGGGCGGCGGGGAATGTTAGTTGGAACTTGGAACATCGCGGTCGAACTTCCTCAGCCATCGCAGTTCTCCAGAGACCTCATCTCTTCCGAGAGGCCAGGCCGTATGGCTCCGCAATACACAGCAGCGCGATACTTGCATCTTCCTCGGAAGGAACCGGACGGAGACTCACTGCGACGGACGAACGTCCGCGATCCGAGGCCGTATATTGGGAAGTTTCCTGCAGCGAGGAGCGAGATCCGACGGCATCCCATCGGCCATGTCTTCTTCTGTCTTCGTCAGATCTGCTGCAGGAAGCTCGATGCCTGCTCGGATCTCATCACGAAATCCCGTAAACGGGTTGAAAAACCTACAGTGCGACCCACTACCGATATCAATGGTAATAAATGAAGCCCGGGAAAACACATCCGCACAGAGTAAACACATCCTTCTATGAATAGTCTTCCGAAGATGGGCCACGGTCGACGTTGCATCCGCGTTGGGCTTGACATTGGATCGCTGCTTCCGAGCGGCAGCGGCACTCGACGGAGCGAACCACGATGTTTACATGGGTAGCACCTCCTCTCAACTTCGACAGGCCCCTTTTTTGGTTGGACTGTCTTCGCTCTGATCTCGGAGAGAGATCTGTGTGCCCTGCTGAGATCACGATATGTCAGAAAGTCGATACCAAGGCGTCATATGACACCGGATGTGTACTCCTTCTTATCTTCTAACGGACGAACACAAAAGTTCCCCATCCCCGCACCCTGCTGGAAAGAATATTCTTCGGAACCGGATAGATGACTCCAGCTGTGGGGGCAGCGGCGCAGAGAGGCGAGTTCTCCTTCTCCCCTTCGAGACCGCGATATCGCCCCGGAGAGCGAGATGGCAGGACGGGAGTCGTTCAATCTGATGACCGGTCTAACTTAGGGCGACTCGCTGAGCCCTTTGCCTTTCTTGGCTTCGTCAGAGCTTCTTCTGGAAGCCGTGCTCAGTCCGCATAGCTTGATCGAGATCTCGCTCCATACTGTTTCTGTGTCATGTCGACCTCGACATGTTTGATCGCAGCCGATCTTGGGAGCTGAAGGTAATCTCCTGACTGGACGCAATTATTCCGAATGATTCCGATGTTTCAACCACAAAGACGAAAACGGAGGCCGTAGAGGCCTAATAGGGCATATGGTGAGGATCCGGGTAGACGCCAAGAATCAGACGTCTTTATTAAATGCATGAGGAAAGCTTCTGATATCTTGGTCTAACCCCGCACAACAGAGGCATGGATTCGCGCGTAACAACGTGGGCTCAGTCTGAAGAGCGCATTAGGCAGCTGAGGATTAATCGAGATGAGTCATTCGATCAAGAGAACCGCGATCGCCAGCGGAACTGACGCCCCGTGCTGGGACCTGATATTTCCTTTACAGACCTTGGAAATACCCTACTCGAGTGCGCACTCTGGTCGTCCCGTACGCAGAATTCTAGATCCGGTGTCACGGACGGAGGTGCCCGTTCGGAATCTACATCGGAGGTTCTCTAGCGGGCAGCGAGTGCTCCCAGGAATGCATGAGGAATTTTAGGGGCTGCGAGGGAAGTTACGAATCCTTGGTCACTTAGCTATACGAACTCGCGAAGTCGATGACAGCAACGGTAGAGAACTGAGAGAATGCTTGAAATCAAAAACAACGTCGGCGACGCCGCGCATCGGAGAAGTGCATGCAAAGTCGCATATTCCTTCTGGAGTTTCTAGTTATGAATCGCAACCGTCCGGTGTTCATCAGTTCTGATTGCACGTGCGATTCCGTTCGGCCGGCTATCGGGTCTGGTAGAGCACGGGAGTTTCTCCGTCGGCTCCAAGGGGCGCACGGAGAGAAAGAGATTGAGTGCTACCGATCAAGATCAAATCCTTGATTGACACGCGTTGACTCTGGTGGGGCGCTTCTCACGAGATATGTTGATAAGCATTCACTACCAGTACCGGTGTTTTAGCATCGTCTTAAGATGTATGTCTATGAGCAAGTACCTAACGGTCGAATTCCCCCAAAATCTGGACCAGTCGGAGTCTTCTCTGGCCGGGCAAGAGAACCGGTGGTATTCCACTCAGTCGAGTCCGCAAAGGACACCCAGACAGCTGGAAGTGATTCCGTGATATCGGTTGAGTCCTTCCTTTGATGGTGTTCTTGCATACCCCTGAAATAGGTTCGACCAAGACGGATGGATATCAATTTCTGTCGATACTTAAGCGGTGTTCCGAGCCGCTGTTGAACCTGGGCGACGACTAGCTTCGCCGATGATCATCATGCGAGAATTCTCCATGGGGAGGTGGGGGGATATTTTTTATGAGGGTTTCGCCAAGTTATAACATCGACCAGCACGGAACGTCGGCGCACTCGGTGCTAACTCAGGCCTGCAGACGTAGATACGATTTTTCTGAGTTCAATGATCCTTTAAGGGGTTTATTGACTGGCGACAAGGAGGTGAAGAAGAAACCCCTTTAAGTTTGTTCCTACCTTCTGGAACTCGAACTTCCGCTTTCCGAGTTCCTCGCGCATCCAAAAATTGTTAACCCACACCAGGTGGCATGGTGAACCGAGAGGAATTTCAGAATATCCCCGCTCTCGCTCCTGAAACTGAATCGTGGAAATCCAGGACATCACGGTCCCTATCAAGGTCGCTAGATCCTGGATCCTTAGAAAATGACAAGATGATACGGAGGAAGGATGCGCTATCGTCGCATACATCGGAAGCGCGGCTCACGCAAGACTGTACGACGAAGTGCATCCAGAGAGGAAGCCTTGTGACCCCACTTTCGATGAAGTCACTAGGCGATGATTCGAATCTATAGGTGAACCAGAAGAAAATCTCTTCGGATCGAGGATAGCTCTCAGAAAACCTGTACAGGGCTGAAGTGATTCGCTGGCAGAGTTCGAAGCACGTTCGCGCAAGAGATTGCGCTCGGGGGGTTGCACAGCTTCATTTCAGCCTCATGGAAGCAGTTCATCGCCGGTTTGACCGAGTTCTCTTTGGGCATCGCGGAATCCGCGGAAGCCGATTTTCGTCGCTTCCACGGTTCATTATACGCTCAACTCATAATCCAAGGGGAATGTAGTGAAAAGGACTGCCGTTCATGGACTTGGAATGTGGGAGAGCCGTCGCAAGGGAATGAGCTCTGATACTCAATAGGGTCCGGCAAGACTTTGGTTTCGCTTGTCTTTGGCCACGAGTTGGAAATTCCAGATTCCCAGGGATCAAGATTTGCTCCGATCCATGAACGTTCGTCCTGGGGGGCCATTCCTTCCACGAATCAATAGCGAATGCAATTGCTATTTTCCGCGATTTCGAGGAAATATGTCAGTTCCCTGTTCTTTCCGCGAAACGCGGCGACTTCGGCGATATCTTGCCGCGAAAAAATCCACCTCCAGCCATGAGTCACGATTTCCGGGATCGAGAGCATCGATGTACGAGCGCCAAGAGGCAAGCGTTCGCCCGATTCTGCTCAACCTACAGGCACAGATGCGCCCTTTGTCTTAACTTCCTATCGAGCATTCGCCTGCCGGACCTCCGATTCCTTTGCGGTCAGACGCGTGCACAGGGCTTCTTCTGGACGAGGGAGGGAGGGAGGATCGGGGTTTGTGAGGGGGGATAGGCGACCGGAATGATGACGCGCCTCCTCGGGCTCTATACTTAAGCATCAGAACCAAAAAATCTTGCTCTCCTGAGTGCGCGCCCCTCGCTGCCTCTCAGAGCTTGAGCGATAGAAAAGCCAGTAGGAGTTTTCCCGTTTGAGCGTTCTTTATCCGGCTTCGTGATATCTCGACGTTGCTATAGAGCAGCGGTTCCCAACCTGGGAGCCGCGGCTCCTAGGGGAGCCGCGGGACTTTTCTGGGGGAGCCGCCGAACCTGGTAGCCGCGGCTCCCCTAGGAGCCGCGGACGAATTTCTGGTGTAGGTCCGGGCCGTCAGGGTTTGTCAATTCCAAGGGAAGGTTCCGAAACGAATCGACTTCGTCTGCCACGGTTGTGTTCCCGCCATTCCGCCCAACTCTATCGAGGAGTTAACGAAGCTAAAATAAAATCTCACTCGCTTTCACACCACCGCACGGAGCACCTTTTGTTCCCTTGTGTCTTCCCCGCAGAGAACACTTCATCCACCACTAAGCTTTTTCCCGTGAGCTTCGAGAAGCTCAACTCTTCTCTTCCGTCGAGAGAGATTGGACTCATTTGTTAGAGAGCTCTGGTATGCCCGCGAGGCTACCTTCTCCAGCCAGGAGCTGCTTGTCTCCGGAGATTCCCATTCAGTCTCCGTTAACGGGGAATTGACGGGAGGGAGGCGGAATATTTGTGAACAATATATGTACATGCTAGTTATGAGTGCCGGAATTGAGCTGCGAATGGTCCTCTTGGGGAAAAAAATGGGAGAGCAGGAAGGAGCCGCGGGAGCCGCGTGGGCACTGGGTATCCAGGGAGCCGCGGGAGCCGCGTGGGCACTGGGATCCTGGGAGCCGCGGGGGAATTCTGGGCTCGCTAGGGAGCCGCGGAGCCAAAAAGGTTGGGAACCGCTGCTATAGAGTTTCACGTACCAGTATCCTTTGACTTCAAGGTTCCCCTGCATCCCATAGCCAGGTTCCTCCGATCCGCTGGTCTGGGCGGACTTCCCCTGGTGTATTGGAGATTCGATCTTTTTGGAATTCGACCCATCGATGCTCTCCTTGGAAAAGCTCCTGTCATTTTGCTGCTGCCATGCGAAAGGCAGCTGTAGAGAGCCGTCGGAGAAAATTCTGTGTCCCGCACGGAGGTCTGAGCTCTGCTCCAACCAGTGAGCTTTCACGGATGAATGAAGAAGATTCGAAACTTACACCATAATTTAGTTTATTTAAGAGCCAATTGTGTTCATCGGGCAGGCTGTAACAAAGCCTCCCATGAGCAATTTTCGATTTTGCCCGTCGCTCCAGCAGCTCTGACCACCGAGGCTGATGAAGTATGAGGTCGCGATTCTTTGAAGTCGGATTGAAACACTGACTAGAGCCTCAGACATCGAGGCAGGTGAGTTCAGGTTAGGAGGAGATCCTCTGTCTTGTCACTGTCAGCTCGAGCCGACTTCTTCGGACTTTTCCACCCAACTCGATCCCGCTTCCGGCCATTCACGGCGCTTTACACTCTTCCGACTTCAAAGAAACGGCATTACATATACACACATATGAAACATTCACTGGTCTCGATGATTCTAGCTGTTGAAATGTCGGGCAAAATTTCGAGCGGGGATGGGGAGCTTTCGGCCGGTTCCGGGGTTCCAGTGACCAGAGAACACTCTGGTCAGCCACTTGTTTATCGCAATCAGTTTGGCCTCAAAGAGAAACTTCCCTCCGAGACCGAGATGTGAGGTAGGCTTTCTTCGAAAAGTATGTACAGAGATCACAAGATAAATTACTTGTCGGCTTCCTCGTCGTCTTCAGGTTTCCCCATCTCCATCGAGTTTGTACAGTCGCAAGACACGACAGCGTGAGGCACAAGGCACGAAAAAGCTCGACTGAAGAGTACGTCCGGATTGGCCCACTTTGCTCCAGGAGGGGCGACCTCGAACAAAAGGGTGCATTTCAGAGATTCGAGGCCCACACTGCGGAAGAGAATCACCAAGTGAGTTACTTGCTGGTTGCTCATAGACGAGCGAAGCCACACTGCAGAGCATTCAAAAGCCGTTGAGAAACTGCTCCGGGTAATCAACACTTACGAATAGAGTAGGAAGGGCTCGTGACTATCAGTCTGGATCGCCAGGAAGAGTTCCGATCCAGCTTTCACGAAGCTGCTCGTAGCCTCCGGGTGCACATCGTAGCGGTTACAGTAAGAGCTTCCTTCTCCCTGGTAAAGCGGAACTGAGGCGCACCGGACGCTCTTCTTTGCTTTCAAGCTGATGGCGTGGATCCTGGGGAACAAGGATATATGATTTAGACAAGATTACTCCAGAGCTCATCTTACCAGGTGTGGGAACGTGATGAAACGGCAGCATGGTGGTCGTTTAGGAAGGCACGATCAACGATCGGGCTCAACGAGCCTCGAAGAAAGCAGCCCAGAAAACTCACCTATCAACTCGTGTTTTGTCGACAATCCGACCCTCTCGGAGAGACTCCAAAATGAAAACTTTGTCACCGATGCGCTCCAAGGCCATGAGGGTTGCGCCGTTGCGATAGTCCATTCCCGGAAGATCAATGTCGGTGAATTCTGTCATCTCAGGGTTGGAGATGGTCAAATATTTTTGGCTGACAAATACCACACAATCCTCATAGATTTTCATTTCGAAAGGATAGCGCGGTAACTTCCTGAGCTTGGCTAGGGTGTCCTCAGGGGTTGTCTCCTGGAAACGGGGGAAATGTTCAAGAGAACTCCAGAGATTCACATCATGGTAACCGAAGCCGATACCGGGTACTCCGAAGTCGAACCGCCGTGGCCGCTGCTTACCTCCCAGGTTATCGTATTGTAAGTTTTCATCTCCTTCCGATCGTCGCTGAAGAAGATCGCGCACTCTTCGCCCTTATTCACAAGAAGGAAATGATCACGGACCATTATGCCCTCGGGCAGCAACTTAATGACGGGCCTGGTCCTCGCACTCATCGTCTTCAGGTCAAACTCAGTGATATGGATCCTGTCCCGGGACCTGTTTTCTTCTGCTCTAACGATAGCCTTCCCACAGACCGCGTATTCATCGCTGAAAACAAGAACTCATTTCAAATACCAGGATTTGGGAAGGAGACCAACTCAATGCAACTGATGGAACTTCCGGATTGCCACGATTTTTGATGTGTCTCGGACGGCGACGATGGATTCGAGGTCTTCTGCACGACTCGAACATGCAAACCTACCTGTAATAATTGCTAATATAGGCCGGATCATCACTGCCGAAACTGATCAGATTTTCCGACTTGACGGTGCCGGTGTGCTTGTTCCACCTAAGGCAAGTGATAGCATAGCTCACGGGCCCTCTGAAGTTGCGGCGGTGCTCTTTCCAGAACACGTGGACGTGACGGTCTGAGAATCTGCGCTCCTTGCATCCCTCGGAGTAGGCGAAGCACTTGGGGTCGATCGCAGGCTGTGGAGGAAAAAAATCTGATTCAGATATCTCGGTGCGCTCAGCCGGCATATTCCTTACGGAGCCGGAGCTGGAGGAAGCAGTCCAAAAGACGTCGCGGAAAAAATGAGCGGGGCACAATCCGCGAACAGAAATTCTCGGGACCTACCAGGTCGAATTCCGCTGCCGCGAGTGTTTTCTGCATAGCACGACTGATCAGCGGAAGCCGGATCAGCTTGATCAGTTCCAGTTTGTCGGCCTCAGATGCCTCGGTGACTTCGGCCCACTTGAGGATCAACTTCAGTGCGTCGTCTTCACTCCCAACCTGCAATGATCCAAGGATGAGCCCCAGGACTCTCGAAAAGGATACAGATGCCATTCCCAGCTGAGCTCGTTCCATGTGGGAACATCTGAGCATGTCAGCGTCGGCACATGCGGACGACAGCTCTCCTTGTTGAAGGGAACACTTACCATGAGGTCATCGGAGGCCAGCATCATCTTCATGTGATGCAATTCCAAGAGGCCGAGCTCTCTTTCTCCGACGCTCTCGTCCTCCGAATTGAAGACACAAAGGGGCAGCAGATTCAGCTTCTTCTTGAGAACGGCCCTCACACCCTTGGTTTGGATGAAGGTATCACAGATAGGGAGGGACAAGTGCAGAGGGAACCAACTGCGCTTCATGTGTTCGACCAAGATCGTGATGAGACAATCACAACCGAAGAAATCCGACAAGAACATCAAATCGAAAACGTCGTCGTTGGTGAAAGAGATGGTCCCGGAGTAAACGAACTCCATGAATTTCTGGGTGATTTCTTTCTCAGTGTGTACTCGCACTTCTTTTTGATTCCACTCTTCTTGAACTGCGGGAAGGGACGTATGGAATTAAAAGTCTGCGAACGGCTCCTTGAAGACCCGAATTCTCACTCCAAACTCAAGTTAAAGGGAGAGCGTATACTCACTGGAGAAGTAAGTGCATATGCAGCTGAGGAACTCTCTGCAGCCTTTGATTTCGACATCATCCCCAGTGATCAGGGTGAAATCATCGCGGAGCTCCGACTCAAGCAATCGCTGGACGCCTTCCACATCCTTGGACTTGTCCGCACAGACACGATCAGCCAACTTCTTCTCGTGCTTGAATACTTTCGATGAATCGCGGATGTGTGCTCGAGGTAGTGTGCAAGTCGTCGGCATGTGGTTAACAAACTTCAAGGCGTAGTCCATCTGCTTCGGCAGTGGCTGACATGAGTGGTCGATAATCTCCTCTTCGACCTGGTTCTGTCCTCCTTGTGCAGCTGCTCCATTGATGTATTTGTTCACGCTGACGCGCATGGATCGTCGTCCCGCGTATCTCTGCGCACGAGGCATTTCGAGCCCGGAACTCTGGAAGGGGCAGAGAAATGAGTGACTGTTCCGCCTGGTCGCCAGCTGTCTAATCCTAGTGCGGGGTCTCAGTTGGGGAGAAAATGCCAGAAAGAAACTGAAAATTAGGCACATGCGCGCACTTCCAATGCGTGGATGAAGCTCGGAAACGGCTTGCGAATCTTGTAGGTGGAGCGGAATGAAATCGATCCGGAAACTTCGAGAAGAGAAGTCGAGATGAAATGCAGCCGGCTCCGGGATGGTAATACGTCGCTCCATACACCACTCTGGGCTCGCCAGAATGACCGTCCTAGGGACTTCGGCGAATCCCGACGACGAGAGAGACAACGAGAAGAAAGAGAAATCCGGTGGCACGAATGGGCAAGGTTTGGAACCACGAGGCGTCCCGCTCCAGAATCGTTCTGATCTCAAGACCGAGATGACAAAGTATTGCTCACAGCGAAAAAGAGAGCCAGACCATAAGGGAAAGCTACGATCTATAACACTGTCCAGAATGAGCTAGCCCGTTGTCCGCCATGAAATGAGGGCGACTCTGTCTTGTCGTGCACATGGAGTCACGGAGTTCGCACAGACCAAAGAACTCAGAAGAAGATTTGCTGGTCAGTCCCGAACCGCCTTGCGCTCTCCAGCGCTTGCAGAGATGGTAATTGATTCGTTTGATTAGATACGGGATCCTCCGATAGCGACTCGAGGACTCGCGGAGCCGCTCCGTGACGAGTCCTCACATGAAAAGTCCGGCAACTTCCGTCGATCATGTCGCTCGATATGTGACCACATTCGCCAACCCGTTCTATCCGAGAGAGAAATGTTCGAGATGAGAGGAATCCACTCGCCTCGCGAATGGAACCACCCGGTTGGTTGCCCGCGTTCATAATACTGCGCGCCCCTTTAGTGGCTATTCTCCGGAATACGAAATCGCTCCCGTCGGAGCCAGGATTCCATCGTGGAGATAGCCCGATCTGAATTTTCTGATCGCGGAGAACTCGATCAGAAATTCGTCCTCAGATTTCCAGCCTGATAAAGTAACCGGGCGAAGGATGGGAGGGTTGGACCCGAGAGCGAGGTGGGGATGAACTCCGCCGATTTCCATGGCTCAAATTATGCATTTGCAAAAGTCAAACTCGCCCTCTGAGCTGGGAAGAAGTGAGCTTTTGCGAGCAAACTCTGAGCTACAACAAAGCCTGGTGCGTTGCCAGCTGTCTCGACCGATACACAATGATTTACCTCCTCGCTGGCCTCCGAGCAGACATGTCACAATCAAAGCGAGAATGTCCATGCGCCAGAGTCGAAAGAGAATGGATCTTTCGATGCGGCCCGTATAATACTTACTGTTCGGCGTCGAACGAAGATTTTCACACAACTATTGCACGGAAAGCTCAGGGCGCTTCCTTGGTCGCAAGCTACTGACAGCGAGCGACTCTTGAGGTGCAGAGAAACTGTCGGCTCACGGTCGAGGAATGGTAGAACGAAGATTTCGCACAAACGAAGACAAGTGTTTCAGAAACTCAGACTCTCTCGGGTTCACGGATCCCCAGGGGGTAAGATGAACTGTGTCTGAGTCTCTAGAAACACTTGTCTTATAGTCTGTGAAACTTCGTACTCTCTCACGCGAGTGTTCGAAGTTCGGGCGCAGCCTTAATCGGCGTCGAATGGATGTGGGAAAGGGCGTCTGCTAATCCTCGTTCGAGTACCTCTCTCTCAACGATCGAAAGCGGGGATCCTGGATAGGTAGACAATGCCTCGCGGCACGGTTTGTCGTACCCTTTCGCGGCTAGAAACTATCCAGATTTGCCTGAAGCCGCCTCCACGCTCGGGGGAATGGAGACATTTCAGTGGGCGAGAGCCCGCCAAATTCGAATCGCCGGGCGGTCGTATCCTCCAATCTCCGATACGATGGCCATATCAATCTTTCATCATGCACGGAAAATTCACAAAATATCATGTGATCGGTTCGGGCTTCTGATGGACGACCTATGGAAAAGACGGAGCGGGTGGAAGAAAATCCTCCTCCAAGCATCCTCTGCTCATCGAGTCTGGTACGGAGGGTGCGACCGGCGCAGCGCCCGATGGCATGGAATTCCTGCTTGAGTACGAAGGTCATTTAGCCCCCCCCCCCCTTCAGCAGGGCGACGAGGACGGCTATCAAATTGCAGTTTGAATGAGCGACTCAGCCACCAAGGTGACCTTAGCTCATCTAATGATCAGAAGAATTCATTAACGAACCCCTAAATCCCTGTGTCGAGAACTTCGAAGTGAACCATATTCCTTGAGCATACCGATGGGGTTCACCATCGTGAGCCGAGATCGGGGCGATCAAGAACCGCATCTTAGCGTTATGAGCAGCGCATCGTTATACCTCCTTGAGCTGCGTGGCAATTCACATCCACATCCGAAGATCCACAAGAGGAATCCACATCCGAAGATGGAATAAAGAGGGTTCATCATGCCGGTTACTCTATACCGCTGATTATAGGGCCAGTCCACAGTGAGCTGAAACCAAACTATAGACGAGTCCACTGTAATGGGGACCCATTATACTCCAAGAAGCCTCTAGATCGCGCCTTGCATACCTCCGAGCCTGTTAGATTTGATTCGGGGCTCAACAGGCTTGTGCGGGGAGGAATCTCAATTTGGAGACCATTGATTGAGCGGGATGTCGGTGCGAATCGATGCGATCGCTGAATTCGTTCGCAGCTCGACCCCTCTCGATTGGTCAATTTTTCATATCTCGAGTCGAAGATTGAGCCCATCGTCCATCAGTCGTAGATGTCTTAGCTCCGAATGGCTGGGGAGACGAAGAATCCTGATTCGACTAACAAGTCCATGAGAAGTTCAATGCCCCCGAATCTGCACCCTGCTTCCAACATCGAGAAACCGGGGTCGCTTCAATCTTGGTAGTATCTCGGCTGTGGGCTCCTCGGTCGCGATCAGGAACTCCCTCCGTCAATCGCACTAGAGTCTAATTACTCATTCTTCGCTGCTGACTGCCTCAGCCCCATCTTAGGTTTTGAACGGTGAAATCCGAGTCTCTTACGCTAAGAGGAGAGTTGTTCCGGGATTCTAACGTCCGCCTCAATACTAGAACGCACAGTGGACCGCAACAGCCACCTGATTATAGACGCAGACTTCCCCATCGGAATATTTTTTTCACGTGTGTCATCCCGTAGCCAGATACTGCAGCTCGGCAACCCAGAAAAATTATTTTCCCCCGGGAACCCTCAATTCCGGTATTGACGAAAGGAGCGAAATCGTTCGTTGTCCGAGGAGCTCCGTACCTGGGACCATCGCATCGCCGTACGACCCCGGACATTTGGACCTTCGGAGTTGTCATTAATTTCCTATGCATAACATCCCCTCGGGTAGCCGTCGAGATTAAGATCCGCTGTCCGGTGCTTCAGTGACTCAGTAGTACGGCGCCGCGCCGGTGTCGGAAGCGACCCTTGAGATATGAGTCGTTGGTGTCCCCGAGGTAGGAGATGCTCCATGCTGAAGCCCTTCGAGCAGCTGTTTGACCCCGATACTTGGTCCTGGACACTCTATCTTGAATACTATAAAATTCGATGTGTTTGGAATACACAGTTACGAGACCGTTGTCCCGTTGTGCAGGATGCTATCGATTGTCACGAAGTGAGGTTCGCTATCGTATGCCCACCAACTTCAGACAACCAAGATTAGCATTGACTCCAAACTCTAGACTTGGACAAGTGTATCGTATGGCAGGGGTACCCCTGAGATATCACGCTCGTATGAATATATCGACACTCCTGAAATCGTCGACAGGTCCTTTCTTCTGAAATCGTCGTTCCCGCAGGCCGAGGAACTTAGCCGAGAGACGTATTGCGAGCGCTCTGCGCGCTAGTCCTCGAGGAGGAGTCGCGGTTCTGCTTCCGGATCTAGCCTGCGCTGCGTCCAGGGAAGGTATCTCATCTGATTGCCGGTCACTATGTGCAAGAGCTGGCACCGAGTGAAAACCCGAATGGAGACACAAAGCGATGACCCATGATATCAGGAGCCGTGGCGCTGAACAATATCCCGGACGACATGCGCAGTCGGCCTTCGGGCAGTTTCTGGACTTCGAGCAGCGTCCACGTTTGACAGTGACGTAATCAAGGGTGTTCAGGGGGGGACGGGGTGCACCGCCCCGGGCGCTACTCCTTCGACCACTTTCAAGGACGTAATTTTTGATGGTGGCAATCGAATGAGACAGGAGATTCCATGGAATTCTCGCATGTTGAAAGGGAAACGAGTATGAAACCCCTGGGTCGGGGAGCCGTTTCCGGCGGGCCAAGCAACCACATGCGACTCTCCAGAAGAAATTCGCATACGAAATAAAGTTCGGGAACGGAACTCGAAGGAAGGGGTGCAATCTTCGAGATCCGCCTCGGACTCCCTCCGAAAAATATGTCCAAGCAGAGAGTTCGAGCGCAAGAATCGTTGCCTCAAACTCGCATGGATGACAAACGCGTATCGTGCAGGAGAATCATCAGAGATATGTGTCTCTCAATAACACCCATATCGTGCGTATTTCATGGAAGTTTTCGAGAGCGCATACTTGTTTCTTTAAGCGTCCACGAACCGACGATCTCCTCGCTCATGATCATGCTCCGCTCGATTTTGTGCGTATTCCGCGGGTACCAATCCCTCGGACAGCCCCGGAGTCTCGGAATCCCCACGGCCATATGGATCGCCAGCGCCACTTTACGTTAACCGACCTTCCAATATGCGACATGCACCAATGCTGAATGGGATCACACGACTTGTCTAGCTCACACGCACAGTGATCGATTGTAGGTGTTTGCCGGCCGCAGCAC